AAGGTCTGTGTGGAGATAAACTTTAACCAAAAGTATGCTTTATGGAGACCGAGAAGCAATAAGAGCTTTTGGGAATGGCGCAGCAATTAATTCAGAGTCGCCATCTTGCCAAAGGATTTATAGCCGGGAGGAAGAACGGATTTGTTTTCAGACTGCATTCCTAGTGAATCTCCTCAGAGGTTTTGAGAAAGGAGGCAGATTGGTGAAGATTAATGACGCTAAGACTGTTTTGATGTATGGAAGTGATGTTATATGGAAAACGTCTGGATATGGCTACTGGATAAAAAATAATATCCACGCAGGATTACAAACTGTTCTAACCAGCTTGCGGAGACTATCAGAGGTCACAAAGAGAAAGGAAAAATATATGAAAATAACAACAAGAGATGTGGAAAAATAATAAGAAAGGACTGGATAGTACTGTGAACATCATAAGGTTAGATTTGTGGACATTAAAACAGCAGTAAGAAGCAAGAAGTTGATTGGATCCCTTCGGAACTTGAAATATGGGTACCCCCAACAAAAATTTATAATTCGGCTGTGTAATTTGGAATTTATGTAATTTGGTTTGATTTGATGTGATTGGTCGGTTAATAAAAAATTATTCTTAAAAAAAAGAAATACATCTTAGATTGCTTGAATGCTTTTATTTTGTTCAGTAATGCAGGTTCCCAACCACCACCACCATGACAGTATGTCCCTGGAAGCATGAGCTGCTATGAACTGCACTCTGCCAGATACCACTGCACTCTTTCTGCTTTACTGGCCTCTCCTTATTTAAAACATTTTAAAAAAACACTTTTTTTTACAGAAGGTAAAAGTGAAAGGACTTCTGCCTGCATAACGGGACTTCTCCCTCTCCTCTCCTGGTGTGCACACCCACCAAACCTGCTCTGTAGAGTTTGGGGAACTCCAGAACAGATTTGGGGGTACAGAGGAGAGGCAGTCCTATTGCACAGGCAGAAGTCCAGATGGGGTGTCTTTATTGAATTGCTGTGCTGTAAAGCACAGTGCTAGCAAGATCCAATCCACCACACACACCCTTTGGGGCCATGGGCCTGTGTCCCAAGACTAAGTACCTAGTAACAGGCTGATGGCTTACACCAAGTCAAACCATTGGCCCATCTAACTCAGTATTGTCAACACTGACTGACAGCAGCTCTTTAGGGTTTCATTCAGGAATTCTTCCCAGTCTAGCAATGCTCCTGAACTTTGCCATTATTTTCAGGAAACTGGACTGTTTCTCTCCATTCTGATCAGCTGGCAAACCATTATGTGGTCTCCCAGTCATCCCATATCTATGGTCCCATGTCCAGCTGCAGCAGTAACTTAGCCCATCAGTAATGTAACTGACAACCATAGGCCCACAAGCAGCATTGCCTCTTTTTATTATTAAAAAAAAAATCTTTTTATTAAATTTCCAAAAATAAAGAAAAACATTGCATCTTCCTTTCCCAGCTAGGCCCTGAGAACGTTTCCTTCTACTCTGAGGCTCCAGCTGTTTAGGAACAGGGCTCTGGGAGGAATATCCTGCCCTATTCTGTATAGAAAAACATCTGAGGCTACCTCAGTGTTCATTTAACCATGAATACATTTCAGTTCCCCAAGGATATGTGGGCGGAATTATTTTTAGCTCCAAAGATAGCGAAGCAAGGCCCCCCAAAAAGGAAAAAATAGAGCGAGGAATTGAATGCTTGAATGGATATTATGCTTTTGAAGAATAGATTCCACAAGGCTACACATCCAAGGAATGCGCTTGCCTGTGGTTAATGTGAATCTCCACCAGGCACCTTGAAGGCATTCCTTTTTCTGGTCAGCCCCTGTTATTATAGTGCACATGCTAGGAGCATATGAATTATCTGAAGTATGTGGTCAATTGCTATAGTCTCCTTACTATTACTTACTAGGGGTGTGCATTTGTTTTGGAGGAATCCTTAGCCAAATCAGGCACATATGTATGGGACAACTACATATTCCTGCATTGCAGGGGTTGGACTAGATGATCCTTAGGGTCACTTTCAGCTCTACAATTCTATGATTCAGAGAGATTCAGCAGGGTGGGTATCCCCTGATGTGCCCTGCACACCAAACTGAGTGGCTCTCTAGGGATGGCTTGTTGCTCCTGAAATCCCAGAGCATTCAGACTGTCTGTATCTTTAAAATCATTACATTTCCCCAAGTTCTCCATACAAGGGCAAGTCTATGGCCCATAAGCTGACCTGTATACAGTGGTACCACGGGTTAAGTACTTAATTCATTCCGGAGATCTGTTCTTAACCTGAAACTGTTCTTAACCTGAAGCACCACTTTAGCTAATGGGGCCTCCTGCTGCCGCCCCACCACCACTGCACGATTTCTGTTCTCATCCTGAAGCAAAGTTCTTAACCCGAGGTACTATTTCTGGGTTAGCGGAGTCTGTAACCTGAAGCGTCTGTAATCTGAAGCGTCTGTAACCCGAGGTACCACTGTATATGAGGCAACTGGTTGTTTTTATATTTGCCTGCCTTGCTTTTAACTTTGTATTTTGTTGCTATTTTATTGTATTTTATTATATGTTACCGTATTTGCATGGTTGCTGTTAGCCACCTTGAGCTCCATTTGTTGGAAAGGTGGAATACAAATTTAATAAAATAAACAAAGTCTTCCATCTCCGATCCGTGCTTGGGAGAAAGAACCCAAAAGGGTACTCTGAGCCAAGCCCTCATTGATGCTTGAGAAAGGGGTAATGCAACAGGCACAGCTATAAAACCTCTCTCTGCCTTGCTGACTGTATGTTGCTAGTATAACACTGTCTCCTGCCCAGTTCTTAGTCTTGTGGTCTAGCTCTGACTCAGTGGCTGGACAGCTCCCCTGATGTTGTAGAAATAGTGCTCCTTACTGTGCTGGACTCCTCACTGGTAAGTTGAGGAGCCCAAGGCACACAGCTCAGAGTTGGTGGGAACTGAATTAGGGAGGGGTGAAAACACAATTAAATACATTAGCAATTCAGAGTTTACTTAACATTTTATGGAGTAGTTGTCTTTGCATCCAAAAGGAAGTGGAAATCTCAGCTAATTCCACAAAATTTAATATGCTGGGCTCCATCTGCAAGTGATTGTGTCTATATAAGAAAGCAAGGAGACGTCACTGAAGGGAAGACTGGAAATTTTTATTTGATAATATGATTTGCATTATCCACTGGAATGCACTGGGATTTGTTTTTCACATGCACAATTGTAGTTTTAAGAATCAACCTCAAGAGGCCATCATTCCCAGCTATGCAAGAGAAATTTTCATGAGTTATAAAATGCTTTGCTCTCTGCAAACAGCACAATGAATTCTCCTAGGTGAGAACACCGGAAAATCCCATCAATTTTGTTATGGGAATGAAAATATTCCAAAAAGGGCCAACATCCTTAAACTCCACCTAGTGATGTGTGCTGTAACAAGATGAACAATACATTAATATTCAAGGCAATTTACTCTGCATTCTAACAATTTGGAGAAAAGCTTCCTTCTGGTGATATTGCCTAGAGAACCTGGATTTCTTTATTTGCCTTATTCTGCAGCATATGGCTTTGTTCTTTGTTTTGAATCATTTGAGGCCATTTCCTGTGCTGGGTTTGGTTTTTCCCAGCCGTGCACCTGCTTGGGACATTCTGTGATCTGGATTGGGTATGTTGAAGCAGCTGCTTGGGCTGTCCAGTCTCTGGGCAGGAAGTTGGACCAGATGAACATTGTTCCCACCCAGTTTTCAAATTCTCAATTTCTGGGCATATTGTCCAAGTTTTGCAGCAAGTAGGAGTGAACTATATATTTTAAGCAAACTCATCCCAAATGTGAAGTGTTCACATTGTAAGCATCTGTTTGTTCTTCAGTTGCTTTGAAAGGAAATGTTAATCTGCCACAGTTGTGTGCACTGATTTTGATTGCACATTTATTCGGATGAAATCAAATATGTACGAACCTGTTTTCGAAATGTCATTTTCAGGCTCTGAAGCCAAAGTTTGCCTTTATGAATTGTGATGTAGACTTTATACTGGGCTCTGATTTCTAGTGACAGATGAAATTGGCCATAGGCTGCCTATAAGTTTAACCAACATGGTCTGATAAAGGTGGAACAAAGAACAAGGTGCTTATCACATAACCAAAGTGGTGAATCCAATGAACTTTGCAAGGGCCCCTTTGTAGAACAGTATTTGTTGTTGTGTCACATTGTAAAATGAATATGGCAGCAAATTAAACAAACCGAAACAATTCCTGATTTCCAAGCAACCCATTGTTGAAACTTGGGGAAAGAAGCATAAAGGATTTTATTGTTCTTGGGGTTGGAAACATGGGCAGAGGCATTAGACAACATTGCTTGTGGAATATATTCATAATCTCCACGTCATTCACTGACCCACACTACTGCTGAAAGCTGGCTTTTTGTCCTTTCAAGCCAAGGTGTTGGTATACTGACATGCATACAAAAAGCTTTAAGGGTGGATATAACTGACAGATGAAGCAATATAGGTCTCTTCACAGAGGGCAGCCACTGCTGCTACTGCTGCTACTGCTGCTCTCATTTCTGAGTTTGGATTCTTCAGGTTTTTAAGACCACTTAGTTTGTATCAACCCATAGCAGCTCAGAAGAGGATGGGGGGGGGGAGAGAGGCATCGGGGGTCAAATTAGATTGGCCATCATCAATCGCATGATTGAAATAAATGTGTCTTGTTCTTTAAATGCATGTAGTTTGTCTTTAAACATGCTGTTTAAATAGCGCGCGTGCACACACACACACACACACACACACACAGTGGTGCAATCAGGATCGGGACTCAAGCATGTGGGGAAGGGACTAACCTTTTCCAGCCCTGTGTCACAGTTTGAATGAAAAATGCCTTCCTCTCTAAATTTTGCTCCCCACCCCCAAAAGTAGCAGTTTGGGAAGGAATAGTATCAGGGTGATAACATAGGGGGAAAGGATTAAAGTCCCCCTCCCCATAATTCAAAGTCGAATCCTTTTTTCTTTTTTTTTAAAGTGACAGTTGCTGTTATACAATTAAGGGTTCTGTGTAATTTCACCCTTTGCAATTCAGCATTACATGGGAAATCTGTGTGTCTTCCTAGCGGCCTGAGAAAAGAACAAGTCCTTAAGGTTGTTGATGCAACACTTTGTGGTGTTGTGTATGTGTGTGTTTTCCTCCTTAGAATTATGTTGAAACCTTCAGGAGAGGACCGTTGTGACTTCAAAACCAGAATTCAAATGCACAGTGAACTCTGTCATATGGCTGGACACATCTACCTTCATCACACGGCATGCATAACTGAGTGCTGAACGTTGTATTGCAGCTGAGGAACTGGCGCCTTTAAGAATGATGAGCATAACAGACACGGAAAATTTAAGTGAGCCTTCACAGAAAAGATGGTAAGACCAGATTGGCCGGTGTCATTTTGGCACGCAAGGTTCTGAAAGAAAATCTAGGGAGAAGATGGATGCTCCTCAAATACAAAACCATGTTTAAAAGGATTTCAAAGAAAATACCGTGAGGATTGAGAATGTAGCATGCTGTGCTGTGAAAAATGGTTTTGAAACTTGCAGGATGAACGTGCACAGTGGCTCAACAGAAGCACTGCAAAATTATGTAAGGCTGACAGATATCTGGTGTTACTGACAGCGCCTGTCCACCCTGCTTTTATGAATATGACATTGTCTACAATGCTGGCAGGTCAAAAATTGCAGCAATGTGGGGCATGGTGCAGCAGGGCGGAGGGAATAGCAAATGAATTGTCAAACCTTACAGGGAAGAGACTGGAGGATTTGCATCAGAGAGAGTCCAAAATTGGTCCTGTTTCAGTCTTAGCCAAAGTGGGTTAAAGGGACCATTAATTTAAACAAAGGGACCATTAATTTAAACAAAGTCGAAACTACTTCAGCCTGCTCCTTTATTCCCTTTCTAAAAAAAGAGGAAGATTAGATTTTTGCTTTAGCAGGAGTCAAATGTTGGCTTTATGACATCCCCACAAAATCAGGTAATTCCATCTCCCTCTTACTACAGGGTAAATTGCATGGGAGAAAAGCTAGTCAACTTCTTTGAATCCACACCAGAAACAAAGCACATGGGGTTGAGGAAAACCCAGGTCCCTGGATATCAGCCTGAAGGTAGTGACAAAAGCATATCTGTCTGTGTCTGTGTCCCTCTGTGGAGCTGACACTGGAAAATATGCTGGCTCCCGAACATTTGAGCACACCCTCAGTTCTTCTCCCCAGGATTTTCATTGATCAACTTCCCCCAATCTGGTGCCCTTCAAATGTTTCCACAACAACTACCCTGTTTGCTCAAGCCAGCATGTAGCAAGGGTCAGGGATGATGGGTGCTATAGTTCAGAAACATCTGAAGGGTACCAGGCTGATGAAGGCTGGCCTTGTAAAATGTGTGAACACTAGAGAGAGGCAGTGTCCTGTCTCCAAGCATGATTCCTGCCCACCCCCCATTCAAGCTTGGAAAGAGATCTGGGGCTTGTTTGTGCACCTCCAAGGTACTTAGGCTCCCTGAAAGTGTGGAACTGGGGACGGGGAAATAATCCCCAGAGACATGCTACACCTTCAGTGCAACAGAGGCACTTCTAGACAAACTTCTAGGGGCCACATCTCAGTGGAGGGAAGAGCCAGGGTTAGAAGTGGGCAGAGCAATAAATGTAAATGTTACCATTGTACAGAGTAGGCACAAATACACACACCTCTATCCTCCATCCAAGCAACGAAGAAGCATTTTCAGAGTTCAAGGACACATTCCAGCCAGACAAAAACACCCAAGGAGGATGCAAAGTAGGACTGGTGAGGGCTGTGGCCACAGAAGAATGTAGCTGGGGGAAAGCAGTCTGTAGGGGATCCCTACAGGCCAGACAGAGAAGTCTGGAGGGCTGCGCTTGTCCCCTGGATCTGAGTGTCCCCATTCCTGCTCTAGCCCTTCTCAAGTGCCTTTGATGCACACCAGGACAGCAGGAATGGTTACTGCCCCCGCCCCCACTCCTCCCTGATTTTCCTCTGCTCCAGCTCAGGTGGAGGCAGTGAAGAGCAGAGAGGAATGCTCATCATGGTGAGTGCTGCAAACAAACCAGAATTTGTTTTCCCATTCCTTTCTTAAACCTGGGACTTTGCTGAACTATTGAGCAAAGGAGGGATAATCTCCCCATCAAGGTGCATAATAATGAAACAGATGAGAAGAGGAAGTGGTGTCAAAGGCGTGACTCTGCTTCCCATCTGAAATCCACAAACAACTCTCCATTAACAGGAAGAATAGGGGGCAGAGTTCTCCCAAGGAAAGCCATGTGGGTTGCATCAAGGTATGTGCGCCTTGTTGCTCTTAAGATGAAGATGTTTCTCCAAACCTCATGGATGCGTGGAAGCAGTGATGTGCCACACATGACAACGCAGCATCTCTCTCAGAGACTAGAAACAATATTGCACAAGACTGAAGGATGCCATGATGGAAGGCCAAGAACCCCCCCAACAGGTATCGCTCAACCCAAGAGCTGTTCCTAGAGGTGGTTAATGACAAGGAAGAACCATGCAACTCTATGCTGTGTCCACCAGCAAATGCAGCAAACAGAAGCAACCATTTTGGCAAGGAAAACAGATGGTCCAATCCAAAGTGCAAACTACTGTAGCTGCATGAGGCCCTGAGCCCATAACCTGCTAGCCCAGGCAGCAAGTCTGGGATGCTACAAGAATGTCACATCGTCTTGAGACTGAACCCACTGCCAATGGGCATCATACTCCAAGTGCCTCCTGCTATTCAACTTGCAGTTCTCCATGTCAACTTTGCTGCTCCTCAAGGCCTTTGCTGCTGGGCTGCTCAACTGCTTGGCAGCTGCCAAGGGTAAATTAACCTCAGTGCTTTGCTCCAGCCCTGGGACATTTCTGCCCAATATCCCATTGGCCATTGGTGGTGACTGCCCAGCAGCTCTGTTTGGTTCACTTGAACTCTGGCTTTTAACGGGGACCCTCTCAAGGCACGTTTTGCTTTTCTCCAGCTCTTTCTCACCCTTGGCAGGAAAAGCCCTATCTAGGTCAGTCTTTGATCTTTCCAGCTCGGCTCTGGCCAGTGGCCTGCCTGGGGTAGAAGACATTATTGGTTCCATGGAAGAGCTTTGCCCATACTCGTCCATATCATCAGCAAGTGTGTCCAAATAGCTGCCAATGGAGATACTGTCCAACTTATCATTGGGGTCTTGAAGGCTGTTCCAGCTGCCCCGCCGGGATGTCTCTTGACTCTCCACCAGGCTGTACTGGCTGCTGGTGAGGCTGCTGCAGCGGCTGGTCAGCGTCCCTTTCTCCTCCAGGAGCCACTTCACCGCCTCTATGCCCTCGTGCACTGCTACTAGCTGCTGTAGGATCTTGATGTCTATTGCTCTCAGGTAGGCCTGTGGGATAGGAAAGAAAATGCAGTATGAAACTATAAGCTGCAAGAGATATGGAATGGAAGACCTTCTGGAAGGTGAACTGGAGATACTTCATAAATGTATGTATAGCACAGGAACATGAGAATCTAGCTCAGTCTTGACTGCACTGACTGGTGGTGACTCCAGAGATTCAGGAAGGGGTTTCTCCTAACATGATCCTAAGTGGAGATGCTGGGAACTGAAATTGTGGCATTCTGCATGCTATGGCCCTTCCCCTTGGCCACTCAGTGCAAGGGCCCTGCTTCCATGAAGAACCACCAAAGTCTGACGATGCAAATATAAATAAATACAGTAACAATGCCAACTGGCAAGGGGTGGTTCTTGGCACTGGACTTCTCTCAGTTCGGCCAGGAGCTTCTCATGTGCTCCATGTGGCAGGCAACAATGAAAATGAGGGAAAACCACCAGGTGGCTGAAATGAAATGCAGTGACAACAGAGGTCTCACCAGAATGCCCCATGTATCGCATGAGAATTTACTGCCCCTCAGGAAGACAATTTCCCCCCCCCCCCAAAAAAAACCCTGTTGGGCCTGCAATAAATTTCACTTAAGCTACCTAGAATCCCCCCTTAAAAAACAAAAACCAGCCATTACATCTTTCCTGGTTTTGTGGTTGAGTTTTTCCACAGAAACCATTTTTTCCTGTAGCTACCTCATTTCCACAAGCTCCCTCAAACCTTTCCCCCTCCCAATGCAGTGGCATGGTGAAGATCAGAGGCCTTTGTATATAAACCAGTGGTAAACAGCTCCTAACAAAAAGCATAATCCAGCATTCTTTAAAAAACACAGTTTATGAATCAGTCCCCAGGTTTCACAAGGAGAAGCTGAGTTCCGTCAAAGTTCTCCCAGTTGTACACAGCATTTGCTCTTGAATGCAGCCAGCACAAAACTCCACGATGCTGCCACAAACTCGGAAGAGAGGCAAGGATCTTGAAAAGCTAGCAAATGATTTGTTTAGAGAAGTTTTGATTTATTAGGCTAGATTCAAAGGCAGCGGTATTGGTAAATGATTCCAGCTGGACAAGATGCCATTGAACTAGCTGATGAGGCATGTGAGCACCATGGACAGAGGAGAAACAGTTCCAACAGCACATAGCGAAACGGGAAAACAAACAGCAGGCCTGTCTTCACCTAGAGACCAAGTGCACCACCGAAGGCCAATGAAGACCAACCCACAGAAAGCATGAAAGCCATCAACTAAGGGCAGCTTGACACATTATGATTTCAGCAGGCAACACCAGCATTACATTAGTGCTTCCCACAGCAGATGTCAAAAGTGCAGGTATAATGTTGACCTGCATCTTTGTGTACAGACGTCTAATCCAATCGGGGTGCATAGCATTTGAAATGTACAGAGTTACTGCAAGAAGCACCAGTGTGATACTTGTGTTTCCTGCAGCAACTCCAACATGAAGAGCTGCTCTGAAATGTATGTATAAACATTGAAACCCTCCTTTTCTTCTTCTAAAAGAAAAAGAACTTTAACTAACTAATTGATACCAAAAATCAGTACTGGCGATGACTATTAGAGTGCCAGATTCCAATGTATTCAGTGGAGAATAATTAGTACTAGACCAGATCTGTTTCAGGTACAGATGACTTGAATAGATGTAGATATATTCTCACAGTTTCTGCTCATGAGCTCAGACATGGAATAAATCTTCCTTTTTTGGAGAGCAGAGTTACCGGTAATTGGCCAGGGCACTCAGTTGGGCACTTAACAGTGAATGGCGAAGTGTTAATCGTGTCCACTTTTCCTTCGATAATACCCCATAACTAGTTTTGGGTTACAGGTTTCAAGACATTTTACATGGGCTTGAGGTGGCAAAATAATATTTACATACCAGCAGTTTTGCACTTCCATTGCAGCTGGTCTTGGAAAGGGGAAGTCTGAATGAACAGATGGAGGAACTGTGACTAAGGAAATACTTGTCCAGGAAGTGCTTTTTAAAAACCAGGAAAAGACCAGAGAACAAATGGCAGGTCTGCAGGACATGGATCCTATTGCACAAATGTATAGTTCTATTTTTGAATAAAGGCAAATAAACAGAACAGCAGCTGTTCTTTAAAGAGATGTGACTGCTTTGTAGTGGCAATTCCCAGTGGGCGGAATGAATGTGTTCAGTCTGAAATTGGATGGATGCAGGCAGTGAGCATAGGCTTCTGAATTGTTTTCCAGAGTCTCTGCTTCCATTGCGTCTTTTAAAACATGTTAAGACCTAAATTGCTATAGGTTTAAAGAAAATACAGTGGTGATAGGGCCTACATCTCTGGACTGCACACTTAAATAAAAATGGCTCTGACTGTGGTGCAGATTGTTAGGGGAACAGTCTAAATATCCTACTGCATGTGGACCACAGGGATACCCTGGATATGTCCCCCTGGACCTTATAAAAACGTCTGTGCTGATGTTCCCATAGAGCAGCCTTCGTCAACCTGGTGCCCTTCAGTTGTTCTTAGGCTACACTTCCCAGCAGTCCCAGCCTGGATGGACAACAGTCAGGGTCAGGTATGATGGGAACTGGAGTCCACTAGGACCTGTAGGGCACCACAATGGCTACCATAATGTGCTAGGAGCTAGCAATATATCTCCATGGTATATCTTCTATGCCCGGGGATGGTAAAATATGTAAGAATTCAATTTGATTGATTAACAAGGGACAGAAAACCACCACAAACTAAGAAGGAAGACAAATTCCTTTGTGGGCCAATAATTATGTAAACACAGTTTGATGCTGGCAGAAACGTATAGGATGTTCCACTGAATGGGTCATCAGGGTCTTAACTGTGCAGCAGAAGAGTTCTTTGAAGTCCCTTTCCAGGACTGTGTCAAACCAATTCACAAAACAAAAAAACACTTGTTTATTTTTTAGTGTAAGGCGTTTAAGGCCACAATGCATTTCAGTGGTATATTACTGAAAAAACCCTGCCTCTTAATGACTGCCAAGTGAATGATCAGTCGAAGTATAAGCTCACAGCATGTTTCTTAAACTTATTTGTTTACATTCATAACACACCTATTTTTCATCTAGAACCCAAGCAGGAAGGCACGCAATTCCCAGCTAGTCACCCATCTAGGCATGGACCAGACCCAGATCTGTTTCATTTCAGCAAGGAGGTGGCCTCACGTGCCTTCGGAGTACAATGAGACATTGCATTATTAAGGACGCTAGGCATTGCAGCAAGTACAGGATTCAGGGCACTAAGGCCAGTATTCTAAATACCTTACTCTTAAGTGACTTACTTTTGAATAAACAGAGTAAGGTCTGGGCTGAAAGATTGCAGTGAAGTTATCTGATAGTGGTGGAGCTAGGGCTGTACAAAAAGCAAGTTTTAACAACCAGCCACCGAACGCGAAGTGGCTCCTTGAAATTGCTAAAACCATTGGGACCTGCAGCTTCTTGTACCAATCATGTACAGATGACAAACTCCCACCCCATCTCTAAGAACTGCATTAATCCACATTTGGGTACATCTGTGTAACATATTTGCATGGCAAGCACAACATGGGTGGGGATACCATTGCCCTGAGCAAGCTTCCACCCACATATCCAAAGACAGATAAGGAGTCTCATGTGGAAACATGTTCTTCACACATGATTCCACTCTGCCGCTTTCTCTCTTACACACACACACAATTTAGGCTGAGTGGGGATTTGAACCCTGGCCTCACAGGTCCTGCACTCTAATCACTACACCACACTGGCACCAAACATGCAGAACCACATGTTATGTAAAGGTAAAGGACCCCTAACAGTTAAGTCCAGTCACGAACGACTATGGGGTTGCGGCGCTCATCTCGCTTTACTGGCCGAGTTTTTTCTGGCTCATGTGGCCAGCATGACTAAGCCGCTTCTGGCGAAACCAGAGCAGCGCACAGAAACACCGTTTACCTTCCCGCCGGAGCAGTACCTATTTATCTACTTGCACTTTGATGTACTTTCAAACTGTTAGGTTGGCAGGGGACATGTTATGTAGGACATATTATTTTTTGTCCTAAAAACAAGCACCTGTCTATCCCCCCGCCTAATAATCCAGGGCAACAGTAAAAAGGAAGAGGCTAACCCTCCTCCACCAGTATATTTATTATTATTATTATTATTATTATTATTATTATTATTATTATTCCACTCAAACACCCACCAGTCATTGCCCCTTATGGTCATTTCCAATTCCTGCCTGGAGGGATGGCACAACCATGAACTTACAAGTTGGCTTTGAGCCTCACATTTCAATGTAGGACACACCGTACAACATTCCTGTAAGGCAGGGGAGGGAAAATGGTGGCCTTCCAAATATTGCTGGACTACAGCTACGGCTGATGGAAGTTGGAGTCCAGCCACTTGTGGAGGACCCAGGTTCCCCATCCCTACTCTAAGTACATTGAATACCCAAAAGGTACCATATATATAAGTATAAGGTTAAGTGCAAACAGTTACATTGTGTTGTTTCAGATCTTGGGCCTATATATATAGGCCCAAGATCTAAAGCAATGCAGTGTAACTGTTTACACTTAATCTTAGCCTGAGAAAGAAAGGAAGAATACAGAAATTGAGACAACCCGGTGATTCTGAGTTCTGTGCGCCAAGGCCTCTCAGCTGTCATATTTATGGGCATGCTAAGTTCCCCTGCTCTCTTACACTGACAAGTACCATATCTGCCTGCATATCTGTTCAAAAGCAAGATGCTAAGGAGAGCTTTAGCAAAATGGGCCATGATTTGCAAATAATGTTGAGTAGTACAAAGAATTGGTTGGGTGTTGTTTTTTAAAAAAAACAGATACTGGGATTTCATTCCTCCCTGCTTGATATCTCTCAAGTGCTGCTGCAGTGGCACAGTGTTCGCCCCAAAGGCACTTGGTATTAATATTAATTAGTGATTAATGGGGATCAAGCAGCACATTTTCTGGTTTGATCCAAATCCCAACTTTCCCAGGGATTAAGAACAGACACAAACTTCCTCTTTGTGTTTGCCGCTAGTAAAATCAGGTCCCTCTGTCTTTTAGGATTGTAACCAAATTGAGAAATCAGTTGTGCAAAGTACAATTAGAATCCAGCTGCACTGGCTGCGAATTAGTTTCTGAGCCCAAGTCAAAGTGTTGATTTTGACCCATAAAGCTTTAAATGGCTCAGGAGCTGCCTCTGCCCATATGAACTGACCAGACCCTGCGATCATCATCTGAGGTTCTTCTTCATGTGCCTCCTCTGCGTGAGATCTGGAAGATGGCAACATGAGAACAGGCCTTTTCTGCAGTGGCTCCCTGTTTGTGGAATGCTTTCCCTAGGAAGGTTTGGCTGGAGCCTTCATTATACACCTTTAGGCACCAGGCAAAAAAAAAATTCCTCTTAAACAGACCTTTGGCTGATTAGAATCCAATGCCCTTTTAAATGTGTTGAGGGAGGGGAGATTATTGGTTTGTTTTGGTTCCTACTTATTATGTATTTTGTGCTTTTCATGTTGTAATTTTGTGTTTTGACTCGCCCTGAGATCTGTGGATGAAGGGCAGTATACAAATTTAATAAAATGAATGAATGAATGAAAAATTTGGCCTCATCAGCGTATGTGCAACAAACCCCTGACTTCAGTCTAAATAGAAAATATCCCACTTGTTTCAAAAAGACTTGATGCAATCCAGCAACTGGTCTAACTTAAGGGCGAAGAGCAGGAGTTTTGATGAGGCAAGAAGTTCCCAGTGCAAGTTATATCTCAGCTATAGCTCACTAAGTGGTCACAGGTTACTGTCATCCTCTACCTTCATCTCAGTTAGAGGATAGTGAAACTGGGCCATCCACAAATCTTTGCAGAATTCACTACTGCAATTACAGCTAGCTACCCTCTCGCGTTCCTGGGGTTAGTAATTGCCGTTTGGGGCAAGTAGCTTGCCAGACCCACTGCTTATTCCACTAAGAAACATCTAGGTATGTGCAAATGGATACAGGCAGGCTACACTGATATTTTATTTTATTTGCATTCATATGGAAGGGTGTGCCCAAGGCAGTGGGACTTGCCATATTTGGAAATCAGTCTCCAAAGTTAGCATTAGCTCTGAGCTAATGTATCCCAACTGTTTTCTTCCCCCATTTCTCAGCATCCTTGCAAATAAAAAAACCTCAGCATTTGAAACTGAATGGATGATAAATGAAGCTGAATGCCGCCTTCAACCTCCTCCCCGCAGTCTTTCTACCAGTTCAGAGACCTCAAGAGCATCTTTCTCATGCTGTGGAGCAGATGTATCCCTTAGGCAAAGAGCCAGCCAATCTGTGGAGGACAAGAGGCTGTACCCTTGTATACTATTTTCTCCCTGAGGAAGCAATCTAACAATAAACCACATTTCTTATTGTTCTGATGTCTGGGAAAGGATCACTTCCATGCCAAGATCTAAGTGGAAGATAATAAAAGGCTCAGGATAATTTCATCAGCAATATCTATGGATTAGATTGATATTCCTGCCGTTTATTGCATTTTTGTCACATTAACAGGCAAGTTGGAAAAGGCTCCCGGCAGTGGGTATTTGAACTCACCTGGAAGTAAGATCCACTGAAGACAATGAGACTCACTTCTCAGTAGGCATGTATATTGGATTGCATCAAAAGTTTGCAGACAACAACATTTAGCATTTGTACTGTGCATTTAAAGTGTTTGAAGCATTTCATAGTCATTATTTTTTAGCAATTCTCAAAACATTCCTGTAAGGTGGGCCACTGTTAGGATCCCCAATTGCAGAAGAGAGGCTGAGGCTAAGACTGAGTGACCTTAGTAAGCCCATGACTGAGATGAGATTTGAGCCATGAGCTTCTCCGTTCATAGTTCACAATCTCAGCAACAACACTTTGCCAGCCTCTACACACCCATTATATTTATATAGCATGTGTCTGTATATGTGTAAATGTATATAGTGCAAACTGCACTCCTACGCATGCTTACTTGGGAGTATGTCCCACTGCATCCAATGGTGCTTTACTTACTCTGTGTATCCCTAGCTCTTCAGCATCAGTCCATCACCAAATATCCCATTCTAGCCAATATCTCAAAAACATATATAGAAAGAGTATGTGCTTAATCAGTCCAGATTTCCACTGAAATCAAATTTCCACTGAAACATTGGCTGAATTGACACCATGGGTCCCAAGACCCTCAGTTGGTCTGTGAAACGGACTCGGGACTTGAAACGCCTTCCTGCCTCCAGCATCTGAAATGCAGGGAAGCATTCCAGTTGTTGTTCAAACCCCATCGCTCCCAACCAGCATGGCCAGTGGTTGGGGATTATAGGAGTTGTAGACCAACAACATCTGGAGGGCCACAATCCCACAGCCACTCTCTCATGGCAGGGGATGGCAGGAAAAACATAGAAAGGGAAAGACTGGTTGATTATTGCTAGAAGCACCGTTCCAGCAGAGTCACTTACGACAGGCAATACATGATTTGTGCGCATTAGAACTGGTTTGCTGTGACCTGAGGTTCAAGTGGAAGCAGCCACTTATCACAGATGCTGCAATACTGGAGTTCTTGCATCAGTAGGGGGTTGAGCTGGATGACCTCTGAGACCCCTTCCTATGATTCTAATAATCAGCTACTACATGAATTGGACTGAAAAGATGCACGTATAAACGGTTGGGGTGCAGTTAACAAATGTAATGTGATGCAAATGTAAAGTAACAGATCCTCTGGATAAATGGAGCTCCCTCCCCAGCAAAGAAATGATGCACACTTATTGTCCCAAACATTTGGGTTTAGAAAACGCAGATTCTCAATCCCAAACTGGAAGGCACAGCAGAGGCGGAACTTGGACAGAGTTGCCAATCACTTCTCTCGCACACAAAAGGAGGACTGTATGAAGAAGTGGATGGTGGCAAATCCTAGCAGTGAGGATGGGAAGGCACTGTCCACCTACCCCCCGAAAGGCCATGTAGCCCAGTGGGTACAGCATGCGTTTAGAAGGTCCCAGGATCTCTGCCAGAGCTGGGAGGAGACCTCTGCCAATCAGAGCAGGCCGGCAGGGCTGGACGGACCAATGGTCTGAGTTCATGGGAAGGCTTTTTTTATATACCACTGAGCTGTTAGGATGGGAATGAATCGTTGCCCTGTTTCACGAGAGCAGGGAGGGCGTGCTTCTAGCTCCATCGATAAAAAGAAAAGAAAGGGAGTTTCGAGTCGTGCTTTTCCCCTGTCACCCCACAGGTAACCCAAAAAATGGGGGCAGCAGAACTCACCAGCTCCAGCTTCAGTGCCTTGATCTTCTCTCCCAGGCCGTGGCGCAGACCCCGGCTGGGGCTGCTCCGGAGCAGATGAGCGGCGGGATCCTCCCTGAGCCAGCGGAGCAGCCCGTCCGGGGCCTTCTGCCCTACTTTGCTCTCCAGATCCTTCAGGTCGTGGGGCAGCGGGAGCTCGGCGCAACTCCCCGGGACCTCCATGCCCAGGAGACTGGAGCCGCCTTCAGATTGGGGCAAGGGGCCCTGCCTGGAGCAGTAGGAAGCCAAGGACCCCCCTCCCCAACTCCTTCCCAAAGTCAAAGCGGGCGGGCTCTACATGCGCTCGCAAGTAGCATCGCGCCTCGCTGCTTAATCAATAAATTGGCAGCCAGCGCCTCGGCCTGCACCCCAGCGCACCCCAAAGATCTGGGGCGGGGCTGGGGTGGCTCAGCAGGCGGCAAAGCCTCCCGCCCCAAGGATCCGGGGTTGGCCTCACTCTGCAAACCTCTCGGCTCCCAACTCTCCCCACTTTGCGATCTCTCTTTTATCACTGCTCCCCATCTGGGATTTGGCCAGTTATGAAACCCCCTTTGCTTCGCTCCCGCCTTCTCAAGGAGAGGCGGAGGGCAGCGGCCGCCCTTGCTTTCTCCTTCCAGGACCTTCGGGAGAGGCGGACACCCACTTTTGGCATGAGTTGACAGGGGGCTCCCTGCAAAAGTTGCCGCCCCACGCAGCAGCAGCGGGAGAGCGGGGAAAGGGCTGCCGCCCGAGCTGCGAAGCTGTCTTTTTTCCAGGCAGCCCCGAAGGACAAAAGAGATCCCTCGTCCCTTTAGAGAGTCTCCTCCCGCGCGGGGCCGTCCGGCAAAGGCAGGTCACCCAGTGACGTCCCACGCGGCTCCTGCTGCTGCTGCTGCTGCTGCTGTTTCAGCCTCTCCCACCTGCCCGAGCAGGGATAGGAAAGCACAATGCAGAGAAACAAACTGCTACAAGCCCGGCTACCGTAATGCACCTCGGATAAGCGCATCATGACGCTGCTGCCTTATTTCCCCGCGTGGGGAGCCATACTAATAAATGACACTGGTAGGCAGAACGGTTTAAAAGCTGAACATCCCGTTTAGCCTTCTCGCTTCTCCGTGCTTCTCCGTTGCGCGCGCGCTCTCCACTCTGGTCTTTCTTTCTTTTATTATTACATTGATAGCCTGACTTTCTTCCAAAGTTGAAGGCAAGGTGGCTTGATCTCCCTGCCAAGCACTGACCAAACCTGCTTAGGGTCCGCAAAGTTGCTGTTGCATCATGCGCTGGTCGGGCTATGTCCAAAATGTCGTCCACAAAACCCATCTACTATGGTTTGGACAGAGACCGTGGCTGCAGACAGACAGCAGTTTCTAACGGGGAGTTTCGTGTTGCGTTGTGCACTTTCCATACTATCCTTTGCGCAAACGGAAGAGCGCTGAGTAGGAGGCACTGGAGCCTGGTGCCCGCAGGGCAAAAGACAGGGAGGCCAACAGCAGGGGGAGAGAGAGCCAATGACTGGTAGAACTGGAGCCAATGACAAGCGGAGTCAGCTTCTCCTTTTGTCCACACCATTCTCTCTGCTGTGTTCTATTAATTAGGGCAACCCAAGGAGACAGAAGCCCCTGCCTAGACTGGACTTCTTTGTTGGCATGACTATCACCATCCTCAGTTGCTACAAGGAGGCAGAACCCCACTGCCCATTCTATGGTCCTGAGGGGCCTTAGTCATTCTCAATCCAAAGCCCACCAGCAGATTCTGCCTCACTGATTTATATGCAAGAAAGAGACCTGAAGGGACGAGGCTGGAGGTCTCTTTGTGATATTACTTTTCTCCATGACAGCTGGAGACATTAATAATAAATCCGGGCAGATAGGCTTACTCCAATGGTTTTCAACCAATGTGCTGTGGCACCCTTGGGTGCCTTGAATGATGATCAGGGGTGCCGCAGGCAACACCAACCTCCTTCCCTCTTTCTTTCCTTCTCTCCCTCCTCGGATGCCCGCTCGTGTCTCTGCCTCTGCATGCAAGGCTGTTTGCTGCAGCAGCCCTGGCTACAAGCTCCCTTGGCAAATGATGCCTCTGGGGCTGGCCAGGGGGTGCTGGTTGCCAGGAGCTGAGGTGGCCTCGGAGTAAGCAAGCAAGTGGACGAGGGAGCCCAGCCAGCCAGTCCACCAACCCTTGCAGTTGGGAATGGACGGACAAGTGGGAGGCTGGGCAGGCAGACAGGTGCTGTGCTGGCCTTTCTTGTGCCTGCTGTGTGCAATGCCTGCCTGGGAGCTGAGTGCCAGGTGCTGAAGGGGTGCCCTTCTGCCATGCAGGCCTGGCAGCACCCACTGCTGCCTCTTTGGGGCAGGGCAGGAAGCCCAGAGGAACCCCAAGGATAGTGGAGGCTGAGGGAACACTCCACAAGGGAGGGTGTTCGAAAAAGGCTTGAGAGGCTGCCAGCTCTGCAGGCAAGGGGTGACATAACTGGGCTCCTGAGCCCCACAGGGGTGCTGCAGAAAGAATGTAGTTGATCAAGGGAGCCGTGGACTCAAGGGCCACATTTCCTTTTGGCAACCTTCTGAGGGCTGCATTCATGTGGTGGGTGGAGCTAGAGGCAAAAGTAGGCAAAGCAACAGGTATGCCTTTTCCCTTTGTACAGTAGGCTGCACACAAGTTATTGGTTTCTGTACACACACCTACTGTATTTGCAAGTACCTGCCTATCCACCATCCTAGCAAGGCAGAGGCATCGTCACCACTCAAGAACATATTGCACCCTGGCAGAAGCACTCAAGTGCAGCAAAGTGGCCTCAGGAGAGTCCCAATGGCCAAACAGAGAAGCATGCAGGACCACAGTCAGCTGCTGAATGTACCCCACTCCTGATCTAATGAATCTTATGGAATCTGCATGGGGCAAAACTGCATGTGATGATGACAGCAGTCTCATCTCATTAAATGCAGGGCCTGCCCCAGTCAGGTGTGCCGTAAAGGAGACAAAGGTGTAATCTGAGGTGTGCAGAGGCAAGGTGGATGACATCTCCACTGCTTTCCTCTCCCTGCCCCACCCTGCTCTGCCCCTGCAGTCTGTGCCCCCAAGGTAAGTTTTCTTCCACCTGGACTTGAATACTAGAAGTCAACCTAAATAGGAGAAAAGTGACTGGCAGGGGGAACAGTGGCTGGGGAAGTGTTACACTCCCATGACTCACATTTTTTTGAGCATTAAATTGCATTTCACCCCTGCTTTATTCATGATTAGGGAAGCATAGTGTTTAAAGTCACTGGCGTACATTTGCCCCTTGTACGTACATAGAATAAAGGTGGTTATTTGGACAATAAGAGGTTTCTTTGAAACTTGTTGGAATATTTACCAATAAGCATTGTTTGCATCATTTTGGATTCTTTGTGATTGTTCTAGTGACATGACCCTCCAACACTGGGGGCCCCTTTGGGGAGTGATCAACGTTGCCCTTGCAGGGAAATTGATTCAGTTTAGAATCTAGACCAGCAGGGGATTTCAGATCAATGAACCAAATCAGCTATCCCCTTTCATCATCCCTAAGCCAACTCCTTTGACAGGTTAAATAACAAGATTGAGCCATCAAGTGGGGAGTAAGGGAAGGAGGCGTTCTTACTTCTGCATAATTCTGTGCCTCCCAACACAGGAAGAATATAAAGCATTAAATTGGCAGCTTTCCCATAATGGATCACTTTCTGCTCGCTGCACTCTGTGGCTTCATGCTCTGATGAAACCAGCTGGCACATGGTAAGGCACTGCAGCGCTAGCACATGGTTGCAATATCTCATTGATGCAATTTCTGTGGGAAGACATCTAAGCAGCCATGGATCGCCTTCTATCATGCAAACATCCCAGCACCTTTCAAGGCTCCAATTGTATCTGGCACCTTTTTCTGGAAAAATAGCTCTCTCTCTCTCTCTCTCTCTCTCTCTCTCTCTCTCTGTGTGTGTGTGTAATCTTCTGAACTGCCCTGAGATCTTTTGATGAAGGGTAATCATGTAGGTAGATAGATAGATGATAGATGGATTGCGCTTTAAGTTTGTTATTTCTCTCTTTGGAAGAAAGCAAAGCAGTTTTCCTCTGCATGCCATTGTTGAGAATCACAGATGGGCAGACTGTTGTCTCAAGTCTCAAGTCACCTCCTAATATTCTGCCGGAATGCCTCTAAGGGCATTCAAAGTTTTGACATTCTAATTTGTTTGTTTGTACAGTATGGTGGGCACTTTCAAAATGCTGGTGCCATGATAGATGTTATTTCAGGGCAGCTTGTGTAGTGCAGACTTCAAAGCCTGGGCTGGTCTCACTCCAGGCACAGCAAAAGAGCCTGCTTGCACTGGAGAAAGTGGGTGTTCACTAGATGGAGATCCTTCATTCTTCAGTATAACTGTCCCAATAAAGGAGAGATGTGGCACTGGAATCACATGAGCAGCTACTTAGGACCCCTTCAGACAACCTTTATACTGTGCACTCGTGATGACTTGTATTGAGGCAGCTATACACTGCCTTGCTTTTAATTCTGTTAGTGCTTGCAAGAGTTCTGGGGCAGACGTATTGCTTCATTTCCAACCAGTGCATGTCCCATAACATCCTGCTGAAATCCTATAACAAATCCTGTAACATTTATAGCACAAATGTTGCAAGGTGTCCCACTTTTGTTGCAATGCTGTGATAACGTTGGAGAAGCAGCTAATAAAGCAGCATGATGTGTGAACAGTCCACCATAAGTCTACCACTAATGCACTATTATTGTATCAATGGCATTGTAATGACACCCTTGTATTAACTGTTTCCCTAACAACTATTATTGTATCAATGACATGTTGCAGAATATACAAAAAGCAAACAAAGAAATGCAGCCCCCACCAGTCTGGAGGGACCCTCAACCACATTGCATCCTACTCCTTTTTCATCATATATTGCTGTAGAAGCATCAAGCATGCAATTTCCTCCCCAGAGGAATGGGTGGTTACTAATCCTAAGAAGTGTCTAGGCACCTAGTACCAAGATGGGATACTGAGTTGGATGGAAGGACATGCTTGACCTGGTGAACCTGTTCATACTTTTTGACAGCTGTGGCCTCTTCTTTGTCCTGGAGTTTCTATTTGTCAATTACACCAGTCTGAATGGCTATTAATTAGCAGAGCGATCTGGCTTCCCTTCTGGGAAATCACCCTGCTTAATACAACTAGACACTACAGGGTGATGCCTGGAGGAGCCAGCCAACCATTAAATTGTTAATCTGCTTTAGGGGGCCTAGCAGACTCCAGCCCACCCATGCACAGAGCAGAGGGGGGTCAGAAAGGACAGAGGAAGGTGATAAGGTGCAAAGGAGGCCAAGGATCTCCTGTGTTTAGAGTAGAGGCAGCAATTTCAGCAGTAGCAGCTGCACCAGCCAAAATTCCATCTCCTAGCCCAAATGGGCAGGGGAAGAAGAAGAAGAAGAAGAAGAAGAAGAAGAAGAAGAAGAAGATATTAAAGCCCCAGTCTGCCTTGGCATGTGCTCACCCTGGAAATGAATGCAGCTATGACCCTGTGCCAAGCCTGGCCAGATGCAAAGGATGGTAAGGTGCCTCTACTTTTAATTTCTCCACCCTTGTATTAACTGTTTCCCTCTTCTCAAGGGCTCAGGAGCAGCTGGCCACCCGACCTGTTCTCTGGCACTGCTTGGAAACAGAATGAAGTATTCTGACCCCACACTCTGTAAGAGAGACTCTCGTACATGGGCAGCGTTCTAGTTACAGACAACTAAATAATGAAGCAGCTTCTCTGTGAACTAATGTAAAGGTCAGATTGAATGTTTAGCCATACCAATAAACTATACCTAAGATCAAATTCATTTTCATGTCTTGATAAGCACTACAGGGGGTAATTCAACAGAAAGTCATTGTGCTTCATTCATGCACTCATATACAGTACTGCCTTTCTGCTATGGCACCAAAAAACGATTCACAATTTTTAAATATAAAAACAGGCAGAGGTTCTCTTTGGCTGGCTGGTCAGGAGCCAATTAAACTTTTTTCTCTGGTATCTTGGATGACGCAGAGAACAGACACTCAAACCTAACAGGGGGAAACGATTTCCATGCATCTGTAAATAAGCTGTAAGACACCAAAACAAAAACTAATGAAACTATTTAACTTTACCTTTGAAGATTTTTTTCCTTGAACAAGGCTGCTTTGCTTCTGTCCATGTTATTATGCCGCCACCCAGTGGTGTAATAATGCAATTTCCCCCTAATTGAAATTAGGACTGAATCCGTATAGGCTCAACATGTGAAAGCAAGAGGAATGTGTCTGCTTTCCTTGCATCCCACCTCCACCAGTTGCAGTAGCCCTGGGTGCACAGAGCCTATAGCCCAATGCATGCATTATGTGCAGGGTATAGTTGCACAGAGAATGGAGCAGGGCTGCACTTTCAACCTACTTCCAATGCTGGGTCTTCCTTCTCCAACAACTAGGTGTGCAGAGTTAGCTGCAAGGAAAGCCCAGCATGGGAGCTCCTGCTGAATGGGACTTCTCTAAGTAAACTTGCGTAGGATTGGACAGTAGTGGTTTTTTGACAGCTCCAACATGGGAATTCTTCTGTTATTGGTTTCACTCTAAAAATGTCGGTACGACTATCATATTCTCAGGGTTAGCATTTTTCTTTCAAAGTTAATGACTTAATAACTATTGAGTTCAATATTTTATTTTAGGAAATTCTAAAAGCTGAAATTATATATTGTGTTTCCCCAGAAGCCTCAATGGGGCTTGCTTCTCAGCAGGCACTTGTAGGACTGTGCTGAGAACCACCTGTAGCTGAAAAGGGCTCCAATGAGTTTAAACCATCACTGCTACTTGATGGAGCAAGGCAAGGGAGCCTGTGGTGCTCCAAATATTGCTAGACTAAAAAACCCATTACCCCTGCCTATTGGCCATGCTGGCTGGGGCTGGTGAAGTCTAACAACAGTTACAGGACCACGGGTTCCACATCCCTGAATTAAGTTGGGTGGGACTTTTGTGTTGTCTAGATGGAAAAAAAGAAATAGGAGGGGCACTGTGTGAGAGAGGAAATTGGGTAGGATTTTTTTCCCCTTTGCATCTCCTTTCCTAATGTCATTTTAAAATAAGGTTACCAGACATCCGTTTCCTGGGGACAGTCCTCGGATTTACAAATCAGCTCCCATCTATTTAGTAGGAAGTTGGAAAGTGTCCCCAGATTCATTGAAAAAAAATCTGGTAACCTTATTTTAAAAGTTCTATCCTTGAGGCAAGGGCACTCATACTTTTAATCCCTCTCCAACCTTATTCCTCTCTTTGAGCTCTTGGAATAGGACATCCTTAAAGCACTGCATAAACCTATGACATACTAAACACTCGCCTGATAGTGTTAAGGGTGTAGGTAGCCTTCTGGCCAGCAGAAATGGCTGTGGCTACCGTCATCTTTTATCCCCCCCACCCCCTGCGCGCGCCACATTCATCCAGAAATGTAGCGCAATCGAGGCTCCCCTTCTAGCTGGGGACGACTAACGATCCTATGGTGCGCGTTTTGAAGTCGCACCAGCCTCTGAAACTAACGTGTCGTGTTTCTCGGGATTTGCACCCACCCAGTAGAAGTCGACTCCAGGAAATCTGTCGCTGCCTTTTAGGTAACTCCTTAGTGTAGCAACTTGTTACGTGTGTGTGTGTGTGTGTGTGTGTGCGCGCGCGCGCGCCCTCTTTCTCTCTCCCTTTATACACGTGTCCCGGCGAAGATGCTGCAGAAAAAGCAGCTTGGCTTCGGATCGACGTTTCTCTTTTTTAGCCAACCTTTGGGGGAACAGATCTTGGCACGCCTGCCTGCCCTCGCCTGCTCGAGGCTCCAGCCTGTGGCTTAGAAAGAAGACTCCTCGTCTTCCTCGCCTGTTGCGCTCCTTCGAGGAGGGGCCGGCGCTTGGATCGGCGGCCAAGGGGGCCAATGGCACTGCTGCGTCCCTGCCATGCGGCGCCTTCTTCCGCCCATCGACAGCCAAGCCGAGACCTCTGCGGCTGCTCCGCCCCTTCTCTCCGCCCGCTGGCTCGTCTCGTTCTTCTGCCGGAGCCACTGCCTCCGCCGTCTCCTTTAAGAGCAGCCTGCGAGCTATATATCCCGCGCCGGAAGCGGAGGAGCGCGTCGGGTTCATCCTCGCCGAGAAGGTCCCTGTGCCTGGTTCGCGACGGGGAGGAAAAGGAAGAGGAGACCAGCAGCTGCCGCCGCTGCACACTGTGAGCGGCTCCTGCTTATAGGGAGAGCGCCGGGCTCGACCCGCTGTCAAGGCCGTGAGTAGATCCACATTCCCTTGGAACTGCATGCAGCGTGCTGAAACGAGAGATCCCTTCTGGCAATCCGCTAACCCCCCCCTTTTCCCCAGGCGCTGTGATCCATTTTGCACCATCACCATCCACCCGCCGCCTTTCGGTATGCTTCTTGTTTTGTGGAACCTGTCGTCGATCCCCTTCCGACGTTTACTCGGCCTGCCCTTCCTAGTAATGGTGGCAGCGAAATATGGGGGAACCTCCGTATTCCCAGAGTTTACTGCTTGAGGCTTATTTTTAAGCCCCTTTCCCAGGATAGCCAACACAGACACCCCGCCCCCTCCAAATGTGTTGCACTCTGTTCATTTCAGGACACGCAATGCCGATTCGGGTTTGCTTTCCATTGAGGGAGCTGAACATGGATCGTGGTGTTATAAAAGCTAACTAAAAATATCCTTTTTTTTGATGTAGTGTACCATAAATGATACCCTCTGTGTGAAAAGGAGTAGTCAATAGTGCCCTCCCTTATTCTTTTAATACTTGCCTGGAAGCCGGTCTTGCTGTTTTTGACTTATTTTCAAATACATGTAGCTTTTGCCACTGAAATGCAGGTAAAGGGTTACTCGCTGCTCCCACTCCAAGAGCAAGTTTTTGTTAAAGAAGGCAAAGATAAGTAAGCACATAATTTGTTCAGCTTTTGGCAAGTAGTGACAGGCTTCCATCTTCCCAGAGGAACAGGAAGCTGGCTTATCTGGAATCAGGTCATCCAGATCAGCACACTAGTAGTTTCTTTCCAGGTTTTTGGGGTGGAGTCTCTCACAACCCTATCTGGAGCCCCCAGGAACAGAAGCTGGGACCTTCTGAATGCAAAACATATGGGAGCTACAGCCCCTCTCCTCTCCTTTGGGGAAGGTGTGCACAGATTCTGGTTTTAGGCATATCATAGAGTTCAAAGAAGACCTCAAAATTCATCTAGTCAGGCCTTCTGCTAATACAGGAAATCTGCTGCTCATGGGTGGCTGTCCAGCCTCTAACAAAGGAGAGTGTACCACTTTCTTAGGTGGGCTCTTCTGGTGTTGAAGAACTTGTGCAGTTGTGAAGTTTCCCCTAAGAGTCAGACTCCACTTATGAGTTATCTGTAACAGCTTTCATGTACAGTGGTACCTCGGGTTACAGACTCTTCAGATTACAGACTCCGCTAACCCAGAAATAGTACCTCAGGTTAAGAACTTTGCTTCAGGATGAGAACAGAAATTGCACGGCAGTAGCGGAAGGCCTGATTAGCTAAAGTGGTGCTTCAGGTTAAGAACAGTTTCAGGTTAAGAATGGACCTCCAGAACGAATTAAGTTCTTAACCCGAAGTACCACTGTATTTGATTAATCCACTGGTCAATGTAGTAAGGAGATGTTGCAAGGAAGTAGGGGTGTCAAAATGGTCAAGTGTGAGAAACTATGTCACCTCTAACACACACCCTTGCTATCCTTAGATGTTGTCCCATCCAAGTCTCTGTCCTGTCCACCTGCAGAAAGTGTTAAGGATCTCTGGTGATAATTGTTTTTTTCTGCATCCTATTATCTTGCCATGACTAAAACTGTGCCCCGTGAGCTGGTTCACATGTAGCGCTAAGCCAAATCATGACTTGGCACAAATCGGAGGGTCCCTGGAGAGGGGATTGTTGCAAACAAAGCCAAGGTTTAGCTTAGGGTGTTGCCCTCACCTGTGTTCATCATCACCTTGCTCCTGGCAAACCTTGGCTTGTGGTTTGTCTTAAGTGAAACAAACCATGATCCCAGGTTTGGACAACACACTAGGCCAAACCACAGTTTGGCTCACACCAGTGCAGCAACAGCAGGATGGGAGGAAGAGCAAAGCAGCAATAATATACTCTCTGGGAAACCCCCCCTCCCCCAATGCTAAACATAGTTTGACTTGGTGCTAAGTGGGAACCAGCTCACTGCAGCTCTAAAGACCATCTAAGTGGGGCTTGGGCCTGGAATAGGACCACTGGTTCTCTCCTTGGCCCTTTCCTTCCAGTGGCCCCTCATTCCTCTGCCCCACAGCTCCCCAACAAAGGAAGACTTCCTTCTATCCTGTTCCTTTGCCAAACTATGACATTTTGACAGCTTTCAAGTGATGTAACAGAATAAATTATGTCAATGAAACACTTAATGGACACTTGCATTTTCTTTTAATTAATGGAGCAGATATTGTGCTGCCTTGACATAGAAATGGACCTTCAGACCTTCGGAGCAATATTGCATTTGACTCAGCCAATTTCACTCCTTCAACTTCTTCTGCTTTCTTTGCCCTGCCAGGTCTTCTTGGTGGTAGAATGCAACTCAGGGAGGCCAGATGCTGAGCGCTGCCTCATGTAGGTGTCCAGTTCCATCCGTTTTGCCCTACTACGATGGATGAGTGGAAGCCCAACCCACTAGCCAATCCGCGGAAGAAGCGCAGCTGGTACCTGGCCTGGAAGTACAAGCTGACAAATCAGAGGGCTCTGAGGAGGCTCTGTCAGGTGAGAGAGCAGGTCCCTTGGACTCTTGGTTGTGCTTTGCTTGCTGGAGTAATGTGCTGCATCAAGTGCAATTAGGGTTGGTGTTATTATTAATAGAAGACTGTTGACTTTAAATGCTTTTGGGTGATGAGGTCTGCGCTTGAGGAAACCTACGAGTGGAGTGAAGAAGATAAAGTGATTCTTTATAGGTACCAAAGGATATCTCTGCATTGTTTCTATTAAAAGGGCAGGATCCTGTGGCATTTTGAAAGCTAGCTGATTTTATTGTAGCATGAGGTCTTGCTTACAAAAGCCCTGGCCTGTGAAAGCTCATATTATGATACGTATTGGTCAAGAAGGTGCCATGGGATAGTTCTGTTGCTGAGCTTGTAGCAGACGAGTGCAATTACCCTTGACCACCTTTCAGCAAATGGAAAGGGAGTTGCACTTTCTCCCTCCCTCCCCCATCTAGCTATATCTATACCTATAAACCAGTGGATTTACAGTGATGTTGATAAAAGTTTTTTTCAGACTGTCAATTCTGCCTTTTTGCTAGCGGCACTGAATGTGTTTCAGCTAAATGCTGCAACAGAAGGAAGAATGGAAAGAGTAGTTTCCAGAGACAGATCTTCATACTGGATCATGTCTCTTTGCAATGTTTCTATTTTATTTCTTCCCCCACATATTTTTTTAGATGCACTGCTTTGCTCCCTGTTCTCTGTAGCGCAGCTTTTTCAAGAGATCTGTTTATGCAACAGAAGGTTGCTACTAAGTTGCCCCCCCAAAGGACAATCTTGTGACAATTTGAGGAGGAAAATATTTTTGCAAATTTTTAATGTACTGAGACGTAGAACCCGAAGCGAAAGGTGGCAAAGAGTTACAGCAAGGACAGTAAACAAAGGTGGGGGGATAAGCCTGGAGGAAAGAAGCTGATAACTTCTAGGGAGATGCTGAGGCTCAAGGCTACCTGAAAGGAGTTTGTGGTGCATATGGAAGTTTTGAAAGCCTTTTCAGTGCTACTTCTTTATATGCTGTTGTTAAGCATTGAAAGCACAGCCCTTGCTTCCTAATCACAGGTGACTAAGGATGGGGTGGGGTTGAATGGTAAAAGAGATGCATTCTGTTGAGTCTCCAAAATACTGAGTGAGAACTGCAACAAAATATTGCAGCATGGAATACTTCAGCCATAGTTGCTTCCATTATATTCCACTCCATTCCCCACCCCAGAAGTCAGTCAGCGCTCTGTAGCCACTGAACATGGTCAATCTTAACTGGACTCTTTTGCAGGGCTCCCCCTTAATTTTTCTTTCTAAATAATTTTTGAACTTCTGCAAACCATAGGCTTGTCCTCAAGCATGTTCATACCTCCCCTCTTGTGCACAGAGAGTGCAGTTTTGCATATCTAGGGATCCACACTTGGAGAATGAGCTCCGTATTATAAGCTTGTAATAATCAACGTCTATGGCATCTTGTAGTGCTTCATAAGCAAGAGAGAGGTGCCTGCCCCAAAGGAGCTTACAATCTTAACTTGAAAAGTGGGGAGAGGACTGGAGAAAATAGCGTGGAGAGGGACATAAATATGGGCAAATGGAGGTCACCCATATTTTCAGGAAAAATTTCCAGTGTTATTATTTTTCCTCAGAAAATGTTTCCTAAATTCAGTAAAATAAGCATGCTAAAACAGATGACCCTCTAGGGCATCAGAAAATTATCAAATCCAAATTATCCTACACATAATTCACCGAGGAATTGTTTTTTGGAAGATGCACATCATAAAATGTGCTAAAACTGGGGATGAGGATTAAGGGGGCCACATGGGAAGTGTGGACTTTGAGGAGGCATTTGAAGGGAGAGAGTGAGTTAGCACTGCATGCAAGTTCAGCAATGGAGAGCAATGACCTCAAAAACACTTACTGAAATTTTCAAGTGTTCTTGTTTCAAGAATTGCGCAACCTTCCAGCAGCCTTCAAGAAACGTGACATTGCAATAGGCAGAGAGGCATAGCAAATGTGTTCCAATATCTTTTCTGGATCCCATGTCTCCAAACAGCAAGCTTAATACAAAGCTGTCAGTGTTGAGGGGAAAGCTGACACCTTAATTGCACACAGACAGGGCTCTTCAGGTTCGGGTTCCCATAGAAACCCATGTTGCCCTGTATTCCTGCATCATCGGGGAATTGTTCATCATGGCACCCGCTGTGGCAATAGGCAATACTCTGTCAGCCACAGTTCCATAACAACGTAATGGAGGCAGTGGCGTTGGGCCTCCTCAAAGGGATATCTAAAAATTGAAGGACCTGTCACTGACTGTTGAACAATCTGAGTCTTGGTATGGGAAAGTTGCTGTGTTCTGAAAACCTTTTGCTGTGTCCTGCAGGAGATTAGCAGAGTTAGAGGCTATGTAAGCATCTGAATTATGGGTCTTGTGGTTAGTGTATCTTCTGGGATGTTTTACCTATAAGGAAAGAGACAGCTGAAATTCTGCACTTCTAAGAGACACTAAAACTTGCAGCTATGGCAACCTCAGTTTCCATAAGTTAAATCATATTTGCAAATGAGGCTGTACTGAATACACTTAAATCTTACTGCCTGCCATGTGCTCCAGAGGATCACCGGGGCAAATTGGAGTGGTGGTGCAGAGACTGCAGAAGAGGGGAGAGGGATGGGAAGTCCCATTCATACAAGCTAACATCCGTTGCACAAGAATGCTGCTTCAGTTGGATATGGTCTAGGAAGCTGAAGCAAAGTTTATTTGCAAAAACTTGTGTGGCAAATGCTGCATAGCTCTGAGAACCTTTTCCAGGCCAAGGGGTTCTCTTTGCTGTCCTCTCCCTTTGGAGAGTTGGAGTCCTACATCATCTGGAGGTTCCCCATTCTTGATTTGGGGCTTTATCTTTGTGAATATAGGGTGGCATAATTATTAACTATTTCTTATGGATATATCACATATTACTGCATAAATCAGCTTTCCAAGTTGTGCAAGCTTTTGGTTCAGGGGCAATAGGCGAGCAGGGGCTACACATTTTATTTTTAAAAAATAATTAGTATTTCTTGAATATTTTCTTGAGTTGCAAGACAAATAAAAAAGGAAAAGTACATATAGCACCTGCACTTTCAGTTCATAGCATTTTTTACAGTTCAGTATGAGACACTAATGTCATAGAAATCTTTCAGTTGCGGGGAAAGAAAGGGGAGAGAAAGAGGGAGGGGGAGAGATTTGGGCATTATTTTTTCATTCTGTTGCATAGTGTTAGTGTAGGCATTTGTGTCATCATCACAGGGGTAGGTCCTTTATTTTACACATTTATTCATATTCATTGGCATTGCAACCGCTTTGCAACAATTTGTGGAGACAAAGTGAGTCCAGATTCCTTCCAAGCAGCTGGTTTTCACTGACCTGAAATCTGATGTCACTTATGTCAATCTAATGTCAACAGCAAGTCAACTTGATATTGGAGAATGGCCATCTGATATTAACTACAGATCATTGTACGACAGTGCTGCTACACCCTGTGCTTGAAAGCTAAAAACTGCCTGTAATGACAATGGATCATTTTCAACACCACCCATTTAAGAGGTGCCAGATGTTGGGGGTTGGGAGTGTTTGTTTTTTAATTCTGCTTGAATGCCTTGCAAAGAGAATGTTTGTTCATAATGATCTAGCAATTCATTGTTACTTGGTGCCCTCTGGCTTATCTTCCTAGTATCGTGGGCTAAACCGAGATTGAGAATTGTAGTAACAATAGCTATTTTTCTTGGATCAGAGTGAAGAGACTGGCAATTGCTAAGGAAGCTTCTGTTTGGAATACAAGGCTAGCAGACAAATGTTTCTGCAACAATCAAAATGTCAGAACAGGCTTTTGTTTTTCTGCTACGTATTTTGTAGGTACATTTGAAATCCTCCTTGCGGCATGCCACTTGGCCTTGGACTCTGCCGAGTGCAGTTTATTTAAAGAACTGTGTGCCGCTTGACGATATTGCCATTATCAAATGTTGGAAGGCATGCAGTATGTGTCACATGACCCCAAACTGATTTCCATCTCCAAATGCCAGCAACTCAGTTCTAAGGAATTTAAATAATGTCTGGTTACTTTCGGGAGAAAACTGAATATATTTGCACCTTTATGCATGGGAAAGGGAATGTGTAATTATGGGTGACAAGCTTTTAAGAAGGTAGGAGGGCCCCCATTGCCATATAAGACACTGTAAATTTTTTCTGGGGAAAACAACTCCTTTTAGATGTGAATGGAAGTAGCAAGTAGAGGTATAGGTAAAAGGTACATCAAAATAATTCAAGAGCTATGGTTCTGCTCTTTAGCCAACACTACATTTTTGCCTTCATGTCCTGCTATGCAGGAGATACTTTTCAAGACAGAAGGACTTCCAAGGCATCAGATTAGTAATACTTATGGTCTAATGTTAATTGCTTTGCAGATGGGGGCTGTTCTCTTTTTGCTAGTGACTGTGATTGTGAATATAAAGCTGATATTGGACACTAGAAGAGCAGCCAACGAAGAGGAGGAATCTTCTCAGGATTATGGTGTGTATGGAGTGTTGTGTCTAGGTGATAGCAGTAGAATGTCCTTTACAGCAGAGGTCAAGCTGGTATCTCCCCTGCTCAGCATGCCCTAGCATGTGATATCTCCTGTCCAATGGGTAGCATGCAACATTCCTAGCTACAGTAGTGTTGTTCATGGTCTGCTGTGGCTTTACATGAAAAGTCCTTTAAAGTGTATTCTTCAGCTGGTTTGGAGAGAGAGAGAGAAGAAATTCCTTAGAGAAAGATGTATGGATGTAAGAGCTTAATGACACCTTCCAGTTATTCAGATCCATCCAAGGAGACCTCTAAGAACCTCAAACACATGGTCAAAGCAGACACTTGGAGCATTTCTGTTAGATAATGAAACCTTTAAATGGAAGGAGAGAAATATTCAAGGGACATCAAGTGGGAGGCTGCCACTAAATATCTAGTTTCCCTGAACTTGGGGGTGAAAACATATGTTGTATTATGCTCCTCTTGGAATCTAGATCTTTGGATTATATTTTCTGGGAGTGAGTTGATTGTGGGGGTTTTTAAAACAGAGTTTATCAGTAGCTTGAAGTAAATGGTTTGTTCCCCCTCCCTAGATGAAGGCTTGCAGAACCCAGAGATCCCTCGACGACCTGTCAACAGCAGGAAGGTTCTGGATATTGAGGTGTACTCCAGCCGCTCCAAAGTCTATGTGGCAGTGGATGGGACGACGGTGAGAGACTCTGCTGTAGCTATAAGGGGAGATGCAATAAATGGGGAAACTGGAAGTTCTCATATGCATGGCTTCAGAGCAAAGGACAGCACCTTTTGAAACGGAGAGGCTCGTTACACTTTGCAGCACAATCCCACATGTTGAAGATGGGGAACCTGTGCTCCTCCAGATGTTGGTGGACTCTAAATTCCATCACCCCTAACCATTGGCCATGGTGGATGCAGCTGATGGGAGCCGGAATCCAACAGCATCTGGAGAGCTGAATGTTCCCCCATTCCTGCTGTATGTGTTTACTTGGAAGTAAATGCCACTGTGTTTAAGAGGGCTTACTACTTGGTACATGGATTTAAGATTACAGTGCTTACCTACTATTTCTTTCTGCCGGGGCAGGGAACTAATGGCTGATGTTGGACTCAAACGTCCTTCAGCCCCAGCCAGCATGGTCAGTAGTGAAGCATGGTGGAAGTTGTAGTCCAAAATCTGGATTATGGGAGGTGCAGTCCAGCATTAAGCTAACCATCTCTGTTTTTATAACTGTATTTCACCAACCACTGTCGTCTGATGTGGCATTTGCACCTCAGCTTTCAAGTTCTTCAGTGTAAAGCAGGCTTCCTCAAACTCAGCCCTCCAGATGTTTTGAGACTACAATTCCCATCATCCCTGACCACTGGTCCTGCTAGCTAGGGGTCATGGGAGTTGTAGGCCAAAAACATCTGGAGGGCCGAGTTTGAGGAAGCCTGGTGTAAAGCTTACTGTATCTCTTGTCTACACTTTGGGTGGTTTTCCTTAAACAAGAAATGCGTTGGTAAACTCTTTGGGGCCACAGGACTTCAGCAACTAGTGGGGGATGTTCCTGCAAGAAAGCTTATTTGTGCCAAATGGGTGTGGTGGCAGCTAGAGGGATAGAGTATTACTATAGTTTCTTTTATCATAGTACAGGTTTTGGAAGATGAAGCCCGGGAGCAAGGCAGAGGCATCCATGTGATTGTGTTGAATCAGGCTACAGTAAGTGATTAAGCCATAGATTGACTTTCTGAAAGAAGCTACTTTGCATCTCAGAAGCCAGATGTATTTACAATTGTTCGGAAGTGACTGGTTAACTGTAGGGAAGTCGCTGAAATTAGAAATAGCTCTGATTGCATCATTGATTCTGAAGCCTGCTCTTCTAGAGTTGGGACCCAAATCCCACCCGTTCTCCTTATCACTGGTGGCATCCTAGCAGGCAACAGCATGACGGAAATCTGCAACAGAGGCCTGCAAGTCACCTGTCTCTTTAACAACCCCACAATGCCCCGTGTGGCGCTACATTTGGGCACCATGGGGATATCCAGAATGGCAGCTTCCTCTCCACCCTCTGCTGCTGCTTGGCAGACTTTAAGCCAAGAAGCAGGGGTTGCCGGGAAAGCCATGCTCAGTTCCCAAGGAGCCTTCCCACATGCCCAGTCTTTTTTAGCCCCTTGACCATGCCAGGTACTGCTTCCAGCCCTGTGGCTTGCTTTAAGAAAAAAATTAAGTGGTGCATGAAGATACAGCACTCATGTTGGCGTGAGATAAAGACCAGCCTGTTTGCTCAGACACTAGAGGACGCCAATGTTAGTCTGCTGCTCCAATGGGAAGCTGCAAGTGGCTCTGTGGAGGACTTGTTCTACTTGCTCTTTCTTTTTAACCAACATAATTTTAACGGAATAGCAACCCACCCTGGAATCCTATGATGAAATGTGTGTGGAAAAAATATACTTTAAAGTGTGTATAGAAGTCCCACCGTGTGTTTATATAGAACATGAGGAAGATGCACATTGGCTTCAGTTTTTGGCTGACTCTGTTTCCAAAGAAGCAGCTGATTGTGTTTAAAACTCATGTGGTCATTAGTGGATCTCAGCAGTTGAGCAGGACTCATCCATCCACTGAGGCCACCATCTAATCTGCTTTTGTGTATGAATGCTTAATAGGGTCATGTGATGGCGAAGAGAGTCTTCGACACCTACTCTCCACATGAGGACGAAGCCATGGTCCTCTTCCTTAACATGGTAGCTAGAGGCCGCATTCTTATCTTCACAATTAAGGTAGGTGGGGAGGCTGGAGTTTTGGTTCTTTCTTTTTTTTCTCTGCTCCATAGAGATAAAAAGTGCAGATGTGCTCAGTAGCTTTTTATTTTCTTTCAAAGTCATGTGAAATGAAACGCTTCAAAATATTCGGAGTAGGCAGACTTGGACTAACTTTAGCTTTGCAGCTACTGATTTATTTACTTTCCTGTGGCTATAACATAATATGGACTTCTATTTTATGCAGTTGCTGTACATTTACTATTGTGAATGGTATTGTTTTGTATTCTCTTTACTTAATGAATGATATGCTGGGTGGTTCACCCAGAGTGGCAAAAAACTAAAGAAAGTCTAAGGCTTAAATATATTTCTTGATGAAATAATTAGGATTGTATCCTAATCAGAGTACACCCACTGAAAATAATGGACCTAAGATAGTTGTGCCCATTAATTTCATTGGACTTTCTCTGAGTAGGACTAGTGTGTGATGCAACCTCTTATTCACAAGATCGTGCTCTGCAGATGTTCTTGAGCCAAACGATTAAGTGACTGTGGTGGTACCTACTAACTTGTTCTCAGCTAAGACAACAAATCCTGTCATGAGCAATGGGCTGCTGGAGTTGGCTTCACTTTATGGTTGCATCCCTGTTGCTCCTTAGAAACCAGGAGGCAACAAAGGGGAAAAGGAGAGAACACTAAAGGGTTGGCCTAGCTGCCAACATCTGTCTTGGGTGGCTGAACTAACTAGTTCCAATTGCAGAAGCTAAGTACTGCTGTTATTCTTGCAGCACCCATTTATGGGTGCTCTTTTATGCTTTTATCTTTCTGTTTAAATAATACACAGTTTTAAACTAAAATGGTAAAGTGGTGCTGAGAATAGGCTCTAAAACTCTGGAAATTTATCAAGCACAGATTTTTGACCTTAACCTTCCCCCCCCCCTTTTTTTTTTGAAGTGACATTAGTTGTGCCTCTGTGACAAACTCAGAAGGAAAAAAATTGATTGTTATTACAAAAAATAGAGGGGAAATTCTATGTAATTACAGCCTAGCTTTTCTTCCATTTTTCAGGATGAGGGCTCCTTCCACCTTAAAGATACAGCGAAGAATCTCCTGAAGAGTTTAGGGAGTCAGATTGCGGCTTCCCTCAACTGGAGGGACATGTGGACATTTGTGGGGAAGAAAGGAGGTCAGAATCTGGTTTTTTCCCCTGACCCATATTCATGGGAGAATGTGGGAAAGAAGTTCCTTCTTCTACACCACAATAAAAGCAGAGGTGTCTCCATTCCTCCAGTGCCACTTGGTCACCCTAGATGGGTGCCTTGAGCAGCTGTCCCAGTAGGGCACAGAAAGAGGGCAGGCTTGGCTTGATTTCCTTGCTGAGGGTCATGGATCTTGCATAGAAATGGGGAACATGTATCCTTCCAGACCTTGATGGGCTCAGTCCCACCATCTCTGACCATAGGCCAGAAGAGCTGGGAGTTGAACAGCATGTGGAGGCCCAAAGGTTCCCTACCTGTTCTACAAGATGCATGTTGTTGCAGCAGCGGCAGCCTAGTGCCAGGTTGTACGAGTGGTAATTATATTCTGCAGACCCTGACATGCATTCTTCTCTCTAGGTGAGGTTTATGGTGAAAAATACGCCAAGTCCCCAGTGCTTTCCTCTTGGGGAGAGCCTGTCTTGCTGAAGACTGAAGTCCAGCTAACTTCTGTGGAAGGTATGGCCTGCTGGTTCTTCATCGCCGTTCCCTGAGCATCTTCTTAAGGGGGGAGTTGCAGAGGCAAGGGTTGGGATGACCCAGTGACACCATGCATTTAAAGGGTTATTTGCCCCTCCTCTAAAGCATCTGTAGTGAGAACCTGGTAGAGGCTTGTCTAGCTCATAATTGCCTTTCTGTCTCAAAATAACCCCCTTTGTTGTACTCTCAGATGCCGAATGCCACTGGCCTGACACGGAGCTCAACCGGCGGAGGAAGCGGTTCTGCAGTAAGGTGGAAGGGTATGGCAGTGTCTGCAGCTGCAAGGACCCCACACCTATAGAGTTCAATCCGGACCCAGTGAGTAGGCCTGAGCGAGAGCCCCCTTCTTCCCCAACCTCTTCCAGGAATGGAAGTTGATGAGGAAGCACAAAGGCCTTCCTGGGATCTCCTTAACTAAGCAGCCAGCTGAGAGCTCTGTAAGACTATGGATGGAAGTCACCAAGTGACCTGTGAAGACTCTCAAATATGTAAAGGCCTACTGCCCATCATGCTCTGCCCAGTTCTCAGCCACTTCTTCCGCATTATTTCTAATTCTCAAAGTGATATCTCTCAGTTCCTTTTGCTTGCATATCTGCGCCTTAAATCCAGTTCTGCTGGATCTCTGCCTTTGATACCATCGACCATGATATCCTTCTGGGGGAGCTGGGGACACTGTTATACAGTGGTTCCGCTCCTTCCTCCTGGGCCGTGTTCAGAAAGTCGGGGGGGATGCGTGTTCAGACCCGTGGGCTCTCACTTGTGGGGTGCCTCAGGGTTCTGTCCTCTCCCCCATGCTTGTAACATCTATATGAAGCCGCTAGGAGAGATCATCGGGGTTTGGGCTGGGTGTTCATCAGTATGTGGATGATACCCAGCTCTACCTCTTTTAAATCAGAACCAGTGAAGGCAGTGAAGTTCCTGTGTGAATGTCTGGAGGTGGTTGGAGGATGGAGGATGGAGCTAACAGATTGAGGTTGAGTCGGGAAATTTTTAATGCCTAACGTTTTACAATTTTTAATGTGCTGTATGCTGCCCAGAGTAGCTGGGGAAACCCAGTCAGATGGGGTATAAATAATAAAATTATTATTTTTATTTTGACAGCCAAAAATTAATCCAAATTGTGAGGGTCTCTTCCCAGTTCTAGGCTGCTTAATTTGTAAGGTGGATTTCAAGAGCAAATGGGAAGATTGTTTTTTTGGAAACAGTTGAAGGGTACCCCGCTGATGGAAGTGCTCTATTTGGCATGTCATAAGAAAATCTGTACTATGCTAATTTAGTTTACCCTTATAAATGTTCCAGAGCAAGAAATTATATGGGTGTGAATAGGAAGAGGGAATGGGTTTGGGGGACACTTGTGCTTTTCCACTGAAACATCTGCTTTAAGGATCTTTCTTCCACTTTTAGCTCAAAGACAACAAAGTTTTTGATGTTCCCGTTGCTGTCATTGCAGGAAACAGACCTAACTACCTGTACAGGTGAGTTGAGACTGCCTTGGGCCCATTGACAGGGCACTTGGCTGGGGTTTCTAAGCACAGCAGTCGGAAATTGAAAATTCAGCTTCAGCCCTTGCACATTTATTGATAAGTGTAGAAACCTCAAGTTTCCAAGTTCCTTTATAAAGACCCATATTCCTGGCATGCATCTCCATGTACCCTTTAGCTGGGTGGTGGAAAGGAGAGAGCAAGCACAAAACAATGAGCCACAGAGCTGACTGCAGAATATCCCCTAGGACAGCCTTGTTGGGCTTGGAATGTGGGAGCCTTGGCTTCTAGCCCTCTTCAAGAGTTGCAATTAGGGTTGAGTAAATGCACAGGCAGGATAACAGGGACAAGCAAACTAGCTCCATCTCCTCTCTGCCACAACCTTCCAGCTTGTGTAAGTTGATTATCTGATACAGGGAAACTTCTGTACTCATGGAGGATCCCTGTTCATATTCCTGTTCAGAACCCTGATGTTCACTGCTTCAGAATAGTGGTTCTGCCTCAGTGTCTCCCTGTAGGCAGAAAACTAGCAAATGGGGAGAAATATTCCAGCTAGCTTTCTGTGTGCAAGACTTTGGAGAGGGGGAGACGTGCCCTCTTGCTGTGTAACATTTACTCTTGTTTTTATTCAGTCATTTGTTCCTCTAAATTATACAACAGGAAAGATCATTAAAGAATTAAAAAAATGTTCCTTTTTCCCATAGGATGCTGCGATCGCTGCTGTCGGCACAAGGAGTCAATCCTCAGATGATAACAGTCTTCATTGATGGATATTATGAGGTGAGTCCCTTCTTCCATTTCATCAAGAACTTTGCATCCTTTCTGATCACAGAATAATGTGCTTTCAAAAATCCTTCAGGGCTGACCCAGGAATTGAGCTTGCACCTTCTACATCCACCTATTGACAAAATATCCCGTCTCGTTCTGTTGAGGTGCTACTGCTGGTTTGCTGAGATCTTCCTTTCCCCTTCCTGCTCCATTACTTGAGAGAAGCAAGTGCCTCTTCTATGCTCCCTGCCCCGCTCCCAGTCCAGTGAGAAAGGCAAAATGCAGCTGTGGAGCGTCAAGTTGTTGTTTGGGCTGCCTTTTAAAGCTTCTTCTGAAACCCCAGCTGCTCTGGAATGCAGCAGCCAAATTAACATGTGAAGCGTCTGGTTCATTTCTGGGCACAATTCACAGTGCTCACATTAGTTTTTAAAGCCCTAAATGACATAGGCCCCAAATATCTGAAAGACCGCCCCCTCCCCATAGACCCTCTTGGATGTTGAGATAAGCAAAGGGGGGCCCTTTTGGTCCTTCTGCCACCCTCTTGCTGAAACCCATCCTGGGACCTTACTGTGAAAGACGGGTAAGAAAACTAATGAAAATAACTTGAGGTGCCAACTTTACCTGGGGAATAAGCTGCGCTAGGAGTTCACTGGAACTTACTAGGGAGTAAATGACAGAGGAGTGCAATTACTGCAATTACATCAGACAGCTTGAGGTAAACCTTCACCTTAACTTCTTCCTGCTGCTTCTCGTGAATGCTGATCATAGACTCTGGCGTACTAAAAGCACTTGGGAACCTTTCTTTCATTTCAAGGGCAATAAACACCGGTTGTCTTCCTGTACCTTTCTGGTAGCAATACCTTATCGATCTTTGAAGTCTGTTGTGCTCCTCTTTAAGGAGTCAAAAATATGTCTAGCCATGCTTGCCTTGCCCTGATAAAAAGGAACCAGGGTTATGGGAGTGTGAATCTCATATGTTTCCTTTCCTTTCCAGGAGCCAATGGATGTGGTGGAACTATTTGGCCTGAAGGGAATCCAGCACACACCCATCAGCATCAAAAATGCCCGAGTCTCCCAGGTGAGGGACCCGTTTTTCTCTTCTCCCCTTGGAAACCATGCCCATGCATTGGGGCAGCCATCTTGCTTGCCTACGAGCCCCATTACAAATGATTGCCCTGAGTAACCATGCTTGGCAGCTGTGAAGCAACTGGACCACACAGAACTTTTAGCTCAAGTGTACCAGTCTTTGTTCTCCAGCAATGTGCCTGTGTCTGGGACTGAGCTTAAAAAACCAACCTGGTGTGACTCCAGATGAAAGTTGCATGAAACTCCTGCTGCTATGCCTAAGTATAATATAGGTGACCTGCTCTCTGGCTGAGGTTAACACCCTAGATGGACCACACTTGTCAGGCAGGGATAGAGACATATGACTTCTGTAAAGTGGTATTTCAGTAGCAAGTCCAAGTCACTGATCTGAATCAGTCAAATTCTGAATAGTGTTGTAACAGATGGCATTGTTTTCTTCTCACAGCACTACAAGGCCAGCTTGACAGCAACATTCAACTTGCACCCGGTATGTGATCTCCACCACATTTCCCCACTTTCCCCTTCTGAGAGTGACTTAGAAAATTCTACCTTTGATTATATCCTTGTATGCAATCACTGGGGAGGATATTCTGTCCTGAATAAATGATTCTAATGATCACCTGTCATAGAACGTGATGTAGCAGAGGCTTTTTTAGTTCAGCATGCAGTTAACAAACATGCACAGTGACATAACTGTCTCTTATATAGTACTTGTGGAGGGGGTGGTACCTTCATGCACTGATCAAGTTGACATAGTTCTGAAACTGAACTGTTGCTGGGACCACCTGGTCCCCCAAAATTCCTGCATCCCTTGGGTGAGAATGTTGCTTCTGAACTTTGTATTTCATTGGTCTTGCTCACCACCTTCACTTTTCTCTTTGTGCTCCACCTTTTCTGTAGGATGCCAAATTTGCCGTGGTTCTAGAAGAGGACTTGGACATCTCCATTGACTTCTTCAGGTATTATCTGAACCCATCAATGAGCCCTAGCTGGGTCCTGATGTCTTTGCTCATTCTGACCAAAGTCACTTTGGATCAACTTGCTGCATGACTTAGAGAACACAACACCATTGTAAAGGGAGTATGAGACTGGTTTCACAAGCCAGCCCATCAGGAAGGATTCTGAAGGGCTGGAAACTAGCCGTAATTCAGACCATCCCTTTATGTCAACCTCTCCAGAAATGTGTGCATTAGATTAAAGGGTAAGGTATAAAATAAATAAAACCCTTGTGGTCATACTTAGTATTTACTCAGATCGACCCATTCCTTGCCTGACTTGCAAATCAAAACTTTGTTCCATGTGTAAAATAATTTCACTGACCTTAGGTTGATCAATGATCAAAAAACCTCTTTCGTCAACCTGATTAAGGTTGGCTTAAACAATGTTTCTTCTAACTGTTTTTGAATTGTTGTCTTTTGATGTATAGCTTTCTAAGCCAGTCCATCAATCTGCTGGAGGAAGACGACAGCTTGTACTGCATCTCTGCCTGGAATGACCAGGTGGGTCTTGCTTTTGATTCTTCATTGCACTTTCCTGCCTCTTCCCTTTTTTTTGTATCACCCTCCTGTGATCAACATACTTCTTCCTTCCCTCCCGCCACCTCAAATAAGAATGAAGGACTTCATGATATGCTCTTGTTACGGAAGTTTGCTTAGGTGCTTCTCTTTTTGGACAATTAGGGTTATGAGCACACAGCGGAGGATCCCTCACTCCTGTACCGTGTGGAGACCATGCCAGGCCTGGGCTGGGTGTTGAGGAAGACTCTCTACAAGGATGAGCTGGAGCCCAAATGGCCAACACCAGAGAAGGTCAGTGTCCTCTCGGTTTGTCTTTCCTTGTAGAACAAGGCCTTCTCTTTCTATTGCCAAGTGGCTAACCTTTGCAATAGCCATAAATACTAGAGATATCCCTTCGTAAGAGCATCAGGGCTGTAGACCTTCAGTTTTTATCAGCCTTTTAAAATATTTTTAAAGGGCAAGATATACTTTTCCACATTTTCTAACTTTTAATATGGAAATAAAGTAGAATGTCCCCCAAAATGCTGTTAAAATTTGTAAAGTTGAACAAATGGAGCAGGTAGGGAAATGATCAGTACTGAAATGTTTGGAATTTTTGGAACCTAGACAACTGTCAAATCCCCTGACCATGTGACTAGCTCCTTTCCAAGAAGCCCTTTCCCACAATGGGCTCGACTCCTTTGTGCTCTCTTCCCTCCAGCTCTGGGACTGGGACATGTGGATGCGGATGCCAGAACAGCGGAAAGGCCGCGAATGCCTCATTCCGGACGTGTCGCGCTCCTACCATTTTGGCATCGTTGGCCTCAACATGAACGGCTACTTCCATGTGAGTGTCAACCTGCACAGAGAAGCATCAGGCAATGTGTGCTTCTGCCTAGGGAACCCTCTTGCTGGCTGCCTTCTGCTTCCACATCCACTGGTTGTGGTCTCTGCTCGCTTCCCCTTCTTTGTTCTTCTCAAGGAGGTCATGACATGTGTGTTACTCGCTGAGAAGGACGGTTGGAGCAGTCTGCATTTCCCCAGCTGCAGTTCAGCCTTGGAGAAAGAAGCTGCTTCTTTTCATCATCTGTGCATATTGACCTCCCATGCACCTATGCAAGCATTTGTAGGCCATGAGAACTCAGCAAAAGCTTCATGTGCAGAGGAGGTCTGTCATAGGAACATAGGACTGATTCAGACCATGGGTCTCTCTAGCTCAGTGTTGTCTACACTGATTGGCACATGCTCTACCACTGAGCGATGACTCCCATCCTTGGAACCAATAGGAGAAGGCTGAGCCTTCATGCCTAGCTTGGCAGCCTCAAGAGAACTCAGGGGTCGCCACTTTCAAGAAACAGAGTGTAGGGCAGAGGTCCCCAAGCTAAGGCCTGTGGTCCGGATAAGGCCCGAGGGACTCGTTTATCCGGCCTGCAGCAATGCCTGCTGCTGACACCTGCTCTTACCGGCTCTGTTCTGCACGTCTACCCACTTCCGGGTCGGAGGAGCACCGGAAATAGCTTGTGCACGTGCACAAGCATTATTTCCTGTGCACATCCTGGTCGGAGGAGACCCGTGCACATGCACACAAGCTATTTCCGATGCTCCTCCGACCCGAAAGTGTGCTGGAAATAGTGTGTGCGCACGCATATGGGCACCCACTCTCCCACCCTCCGGCCCGCCACGCGATCAGCACTGGAGACACCAGCTCGAGGCGCAGTAAGTTTGCTGACCCCTGGTGCAGGGCTAGATCATCTTTCATCTGAGCCAGTACAGGAGTTCTATTCGAGTCCTGTTCTTATGTTGAAAGCACAGAGCTATCATCATGTGAGGCATGAGAGGAAGTTGCACTCTCTGCATCTTTGGGAGGATGTCTGCAGCAGGACTGCCTGCCAGTACAAAGGGGCTATCCCAGCAAGCGGGAACCCTGAGCGCTCGGGGTTTCATCTCATGGGGACCACCTGCTTGGCTTTGGGAGGCTGCCCTGCTGCAGACATCCTCCCAAGGCTGTGGACAATGCTGGGGAGGGGAGACTGCGCCTGGCCCTGCTCTGTGATAATTGTGTGTCCTAAATGCCCACATAGGGCAAATGGCTTGTGTCCAAATAATTTTTCCTGAAAGTCAATTCATGGAAAATAATGGAACCTCAGTTAGTCAATGTGGTGACTCTGCTCTGAGTAGGTCTAGCATTGGATACAACTCTTATGTGTTCTTATGTCAATTTGTATGCTAGCTCCCAAGTTGCCAGGCTAGTCCAGTGACTCAAAATGAACTGATGCCTCCTGTTTATTCACTTAACACAGCTGCTTTGACTACTCCCTGTGACCATTCCCATGCAACAAATCATTTATGGATAGTTGTCTGCCATGGTGCAGTGTGTTTTTTGATGTGGAGACTCAGTATCTGTGCATCAAGCTAGATTCCCTCCCGAGTGTGCTCCAGGGATATGTGGAAATAAGGGGTTATACGTACATGAAAGGTGACTGATGACCCCTAAATATGTGTTTGCCTCTTGGTTTTTCTAGGAAGCCTATTTCAAAAAGCACAAGTTCAACACTGTCCCCAGCGTCCAAATAAAAAATGTGGAGAGGTGAGTGCAGTATGTCCAGCCTCTGCAGAATGAGCCCTAATATACCCTGGGGCACCTGGGACTGACTTTCTGAGCCAGGCTTAGGGCTTCCTGGCTTATGTACCTCTCCAGCTGAGACTCACTGCTTTAACTGCACCAGAATGCCCTAAAAGTTGGTAATAACATGTTGCCTCTTTTGTGGGTGGCCTTTAAAAATCATAGAGTGGTAGTCAGCTAAGCTTTACTCAGAGTAGATGGATTGAAATCAATGAAGATTGCTAAGGTAGGCCTATTAGTTCCAGTAGGTGTACTCTGAGTAAAACTTACTTGACTATTACTTCTAGGAGATTAATACTAGCAGGAAGGTGGTTTCTTCATAAATAGAAAAAAACACACATTTGTTTTCCTGTCCAGCTGATGAGTTGTGTTTCCTGGGGTATACTATCTTTTTCCCCATTTTCTAGTTTTTACCCCAACCCACGTCAGTGTTCCTGCAATAGGGTCCAAAAGCTGATGGCTATCCTAGAATGTCTTTCATAGTAGCAAAGGTGGACTGTGGAATTAAATAGTGGTTTTATTGCAGTGGATTTACTAAGCAGGATGCTGACACCCAACAAACCGCCTCTAAGGTGTTAAGCATCAATATTTCTCTTCTCCCCCCACCCCCCTCTGACTGACTGTCTTTATCTTTCCATCGCCCAGCTTAAGGAAAGATGCATATGAAATTGAAATCCACCGGCTGCTCAGGTAACTTGAATGCTAGGAAATCGGACACATGTTGATGGTAAATGATGATATTTTGCAAAGTTTTAAAGAGTGTGTGTGTAGGAACTGTTTCATGTTGGAGATGAATGCTTGTTTGTCTGTTGTTGGGGAGGGTATTATGTTTTTATTCAGTTTTACAGAAGCAAGCATCAAAATTATGCTGATACATCTATACAGCTCTTAGAGTTGTTTGGATCACGGGCAGGCTGTGTCTGCTGTCGTTGCGTGGATTGATTTTGCTAGCATGCCATGCCTACAAGAGAGGTATTCTAGTGTCCCCATTTGTGGAAGGTGTGGCATCTTGTGTATGGGCTGCAGCAACAACTGTAAGAGGAAAAACAATAAGTGGTAGCCAGGAATTTTGCACAATTGGATCATAAGGTTATCAGTTAATCTCTGAAGTGGGTGGGTGGATTTTAACCAATGTCATTGTGAAGGGCTGGAAGCGTCCCATCTAATACGCGAAGGGGAAGGGTGCCAAAGAACAATGTAGTCACTTTGAATGTTTTGTCTGATGTATGACTACAAAGCTTCAACAATAGGAGCAATGTGAGCCCTTCCCACAAACTTACGGCCTTTTCTTTTTTACTTTTCCCTACAGACTAATTGGCATTTTTTAAAAAATTGCTGGAAACCCCTGTGTGTGTTCATACATGTGTGTCTTACGGCTTTTATCTCTTCACTTTTTTGCCTGTCCTCACGGTCTCGGATTTATTTTAATTCCTCCTTCAGTGAGGCAGAAGTTCTGGATCACAGCAAGAACCCCTGTGAGGATTCCTTTGTACCTGACACTGAAGGGAAGATCTACGTTATGTACATCAAGATGGAGCAGGAGGCAGATTTCACCACCTGGACTCAGCTTGCAAAGGTAACTTCCAACTTTTTTGCCTGCCCAGCCTGTGACATAAGATGGACAGGGTGGGGTTTCTGTAGGCCTCTAAATCCAAAGCCAGTGCAGAACGGGAATTGGAAGGCAACCCATTGACTTAGATTCTGGAGCTTCCATCACATGGCTGATTCAACCTTGATGGCATGTTGCTTGTATGATGTCCTCTCTCCACTGTCCTTAGTGCCTCCACATCTGGGATCTAGATGTCCGTGGGAACCATAAAGGACTGTGGCGCCTCTTCCGGAAGAAGAACCACTTCCTGGTAGTGGGAGTGCCTGCCTCTCCTTATTCGTAAGTTTCCTTCATGGGCAGGGGAAACTCCCCCTGGTCCCCATGTTAGTGCCAGGCTGCTTAGTCTCTGCATGTTTCTCCCAGCATTTCCCCAGCTAGCAATCAAATCAGATCCTGCTCCCCAAGCAAGCTACAGTAGTTGAGCCTGTCCAGTCACATGTTTTAAAGAACACCAAGGTTGCAGGTTCGATCCCTGTATGGGACAGCTGCACATTCCTGCATTGCAGAGGGTTGCACTAGATGATCCTCAGGATCCCTTCCAATTCTATAATTCTATGTCTTCATAACTTGCTGCTGCTGATGCCACCTGGCGCTTGGAACAAAAATTGCAAGGAACTTGGAAAGAAGCAGAGGCAACGCCATTCTTCGCCACGGTTGCTTGGTGGCTATGTGCACCAGGTAGCTGCACCAGAAGGGCTGCAAGAATAGCTGACTCAGATTTTGGGAGACCATAGCAAGGTGACTGAGAAGGGATTGGAGGCAGCTCCAATCCCTTGGGGGGCGTGTATTGTGTGTAGTCATGAAGCAGACATGAAAGGCCAGAATTCCTCTCCAGGCAATTATTAAGAGGGGAGGCCTTGACTCAGTGGCAGAGCACGTGCTTTGCTCACAGACAATCCCTAGCATCTCCATCTATAGAAAGGATTAAGTCAGGCTTCCTCAACCTCAGCCCTCCAGATGTTTTTGGCCTACAACTCTCAAGATCCCTAGCTAGCAGGACCAGTGGTCAGGGGTGAAGGGAATTGTAGTCTCAAAACATCTGGAGGGCCAAGGTTGAGGAAGCCTGGATTAAGTGGAATGGGGATGCCTGAAGCCTAGCAATGCTGCCTCCAGATGGACAACACTGGCCTAGATGGACAAATGGGCTTATCTGGTGCAAGGCAGCTTCTTATTTTCCTCTCCATGCTGCCCTCTCTGGCACGAGACACTTCTTTAGCTCCCCCACCCCTTTCCCTTTTTCGTAGCCAGCTCTTTTTTTCTCCTTCTCCTCCTAGATCCAAGAAACCCTCCTCAGTGACCCCCATTTACATGGAGCCCCAAGCCAAGGATGAAGCGGTGGGAGCCGTGGGAGCAGGAGCGGAGCAAACTTGAAGCAGGGCTTGGGAGTGTTGTCCGTGTTGCCTTCACAGCCTGCTGGGAAAAGGGGCTCAAGACGCCATGGAGCTTCGTGGGAGATTTGTGTGCCGCTTTCTCTGAAGGACTTGGGAAGAGGGGCAAAGACAAAGGGGGGAGGGCTCCCCGCTGCCCCAAGGCAGCTGCTGAGTGTGAATACGTTGCACTGGGAAGGCAGGAGCAGGAGCCTTTAATATTTTTCTAAGCCACTGCAACAATACAATTTTGTGGGGTGGGGAGGGGGTCGGTCTCATTTTTAACACTGACGCTTTACTAACGGTGGCCACCCTTTCCCCCAAATTGTGGGTTAGGCCAGAGGGAGCTGTTTGGAAAGGTGATTGGTTCCCCTTTTAGGGAGCTCTTCTCAGACCACTACTTCAGGATATATACATTTGTTGTTGTTATTTATTAACTCTGTGTGTTGGTCAACATCCTTCAAAAGGCAGCTGTCCTGCTTATGTTTCTGGTGGTTTCCAGTTTAGGGGGGGATTGTGATGGGACTCTTAAGCCCTGGAAAGCATGTGGAGCCATTCATTCTCCAGGCAGAGGAACCATCCTGTACATGGCTTGGATTGGTGGCTACAGAGCAGACAGCTCGCCTGAATTTGGAGAATGGTTTTTGTGCCAGAGGATGGAGAAATAGACCTTCATGGCCTTCATCGTCGGGACTTAAGGACACAAACCACAAATGGAACTGCATGTATCGGTACTGTGGGCAACCTAACCTGGATGCTCAGGCCCAGAATTCCTTTCCTCCTGTCTCTGCTCCCAGTGGATTGTGATGCAAGAAGGGAAACATCAAAATCTCTGGCATTTTATCTACCTAGCAAGTTCTCCTGGCTCTAACTGAGGCACCTCTTCTTGACTGAAATGCTCAATAGAGGCCCAAGGCTGCGAGGCTTGGTGGAGTTGCTCTTCTGTACAATACCCACAGAAAAGAGCCAAGAAGTGGTGAAGGTGTGTGTGTGTGTGTGTACAAAAAGTGCCTTGAGGGAGTATGTGCTGGCCTAGAAAGCCTGCTCAGAAAGGGAGAGTTGAAGTGAATGGATCAAGCCGAACCTCAATTATGTTTGCTCCATTGGAACAAAGCTTCTGTGAGCTCAAAGATCCAAATGCAGGAACACTTGTTAGTGTGCAGTGTGGATGACCTGTGGCAATGGCCACCGTTAGTACCACTAAGCAAGGTCAAGCTCACTCCTGTCCTCCATCCTGTGGAGCTGATAGGCTTTGTGTCCTACCCTGCTCAGTTCAAGCCAGTCTTGCTCTTTTTGAGGCCTAGGTTGCTGAAGCATGTTGCTTGGAAAGGAGGCGCTCATAGGACCTCAAGGAAGTTCTGAAGAGGCTTCTTGGGGAAGTAGGTTCTTCTGGAGTCTGTGTTGGCTGGGCAGAGGTAACGGGGAAGGGAAAGGGCAGAAATTCAGGGACAAAGAGGAATAGTGGTTTTCCTCTTCCACATCTGGTGCCTTATGAGGTGAGCGAAGTCCTTGGGGTCTAGAATGTAACTTTCTGTACAATGATTCAGTGAACAGCTAAAGGAAAGGGAGCACCACCTACAAGCAGATGGCCAGGTTCTAGTTTAATGTAATCCTTTCCCTTCCATTTGGTGGTGAGGTGTCTTTTTGTTTTGTGTTTCCTCTTCTTTCTCCACACCGCCAAGCTAACCATACATAGTTGATGCTGCCCGGGTCTTTAAGAAAACAAACGAATTGGGTGTAGAGGACTAGAAAAGGGGAAAGGAGGCATTACAGCATTTAAGATGTCCATAAGGCAACTGTGGCCTCCATTAATAAGGTACCATCTTCAGCCAACTCCTGAACCTAAGAGTGTCTTGCTTCACCTCACTTGGTCTGTACATTTTCCAAAAAGAAACCCTTTGGCTTCTATCCACGTTAAAGTCTAGTGACTGAGGGGAGACCATAGGGAATTTTGGATGGATGACTTTGGTACAGTCACTGATTGAATGCCGCTGATTTATGGGTTAGTGATGCTTTACTGCAGGGAACCAAGACATCTTGTCAGTTCAGTCCATACCATCTCAGGGGAAACTGGTGGGTGTGTCTGCCTCTGGAAGGTGGGCTTCTCTTGGCCCTGCCTGTTGGCCTTGATGCAGATACACTCAGCATATTGCAGCTGCAAGGTGAGCGTAACCCAGAGCTGAGAGTGCAGCAGTTCCTGCCAGAGATGAAAACGAACGCTTTGGCTGCTGCTTTCCTTGATTGCATCGCTTGCCATCACATTGCCAGTGCATCATGTTTCACTGGAGGTAAATGTGGACATGTATTTCCCCCAACAGCTTTTGCAGGTACGGTAGAGCTAAAAGTTAGAGCTGTGCTGCATTTTTGCAAAAGGATAATTTTTCTGTTATGCCTTCCTTGTCTCTCCTTGGCAAGCATTGATGCAGAAAGGGAATCTGTTCCTGTAAACAGGCACCTGAAGGTTCCTGGATACAACTTTAGCATGCGTTTGCATTTTTAGAAACACACAAGTTTTGCTGCGGAGTCTTACTACTGATGACATATGGAATGATCCTCATAGTGAAGCAGCTAGTACTTTCGCCATTTTTGTGGCAACATGGTATGGAGCATGGTTTTTTATGTTCTTGGGTTTTTTGTTTGGTTTTATTTAAGGTGCACAGCACCCTTAATAAGGGGAAGGAGCAACTTCTAAGCAGAGTTCAGCAACCTTTGCCCTCCAGAAGCACATTACGTTCCTTTTCCTTATTTATTTGGTAACCAGAATGGGGGATGTTTTGAAGCCGCCAAATCTCCAAGGCCCTATTACACTTGGCACAAAGTGCAAAGAGTTGGGGCTTCTGCAAATGCACAGCAGCAGCAGCAACCCTGAAGGCTTTTTTAGTGATGGCTAACTGCAGCAATGCTGAATTAGCTAATGTGCTTCTTATTAATTTAAAGAAGCCATTTCCCCCCCTTCAGAACCAGTCATGGGATTTCAGGGGCATGGCAAGTGGAGATCTCAGGAAGCCTAATGCCTAGACCAGCCTTCTCCAACCTGGTGCCTTCCAGATGTTTTGAATGACAATTCCAGTCAGCTGCAGCCATCACAACAGTGCTGGCTGTGGCTGATGGGAGTTCAAAGCACCTGGAGGGGCACCAAGTTGGGGAAAGGTGGCCTGGATCTACAAATACTTTTGTGCTTGATGGAGAGCAGAGCACAGGCCTCTCCAGACTTCATCTATATGTTTGGCGTGAGTGTTTAGTTGTGGGCAGAGGGAGGGGCTAGTTGCTTTTTGCAGCAGAAAGGCATTTCCTACCTATCAGGTGTGTAAAATCAGGTCACTTTGTGTAGTCATGATCAAAGTTCAGAGCACACTTTTGAAGGGGCTACATCTACCTTAAAAGTGTTCATGAGGTGTCTTCTGAAAGGAATGGTGTTCTGCTCTTGGCACTGGCAATAGACACAGCTCCTGCCCCACCTGACCAAGTGCAAAATATTTTATGGTGAGGACATCCCAAGATCCCACGGTAACAGCATCGTTGCAAGAAGATTGTAGTTTGTGAGTTTGTGAGGAGGCAAGAAAAGCAGAGGTGGGTTGGGGTGGTTTCCCCTGTTCAGCCTTGCAAGTTTCCACTTGTGAAACAACTGGAATATGTCAGAGGGTAGCTGGAACAGTTGCTCTAAGCCACTACAGTGGTACCTTGGTTTAAGAACAGCTTAGTTTATGAACAACTTGGATTAAGAACGCTGCAAACCTGGAAGTAGGTGTTTTGGTTTGTGAACTTTGCCTTGGAAAAGCAGAACATGGTCCGCTTCCTGTTGAGTGTGTTCCATTTGTAAATTGAGTCCCCCGCTGCTGTGGGAAAGCACGCCTTGGTTTAAGAATGCTTTGGTTTAAGGACGGACTTCAGGAATGGATTAAGTTTGTAAACCAAGGTACTACTGTACTTGCCCCTGGCAATATGCCAGTGGGAGCGGGAAGAAAAATAGCAAGGATATAAATTTAATTCAGTTTTCACTGTGTGTGACTTTTAAAATAACAAGTTTCCCCTTCATAAGGTTACCTGTACTACAAGTGCTGCTTCTAAAACAACCGTTTAGGGATGGGAAATGTTTGATCTAAAGCATTTTAATCTTTAAAATATAGTCCAGCACCATGGACATGAGACTTTTGACTGAAATGGAAGCTAAATTGCCATATGGGGGTTGTGTATCTTGCTGGCATTGGATTTCAGTGGGGTAAGCATGCCTTTCTCTGGATTACACCTAGCAGCTGCAATCCTATGCTTGCTTGTTCTAAAACCTCTTGGCTTCTAGGTAACCAGGGACTGCTTATGAGTAAACCTCCTTGGGATTGACCCAAGTGTGAAACAACTGGAATAAAATGTGTTCCCATTCAGCTTCAAATTCCCATTTAAATACAAACAGTATTTAATCCCTTTGATTGCAGTGACTTATTCTCGTCAAACTTTGCAAACAAGTCCAAGGATCATAACCCCTGACCTTGCTCTTTGCAAACTATGTGGGAAAGGATAGCTAAAAGTTCATCAACTGTTCCTCTCTTCCAGTTTATTTCAGCCAGAATCTTTCTGGTTGTTAGTGACAGCATGCTTGATGCTTTGTCTGATCTATCATGGAAATTACTATTTTCTTGTAGCTTCTGGAGGGTTTGGGGGTTATTTTGATGGTGGTGGGAAGTTGGAGAGGAGACGGTTCTGTTGCAAAGCAGCTAACATTTTTCAGACCAACAGATGCCTAGGTAACATGCCATCATTTGCCATCAGTTTTTCTTGTTTCTGCTGTTTCCCAAACTATCCATTGATAATGCACGACGACATCAGAATGTAAAGCTGTCACACCCTGTGGATGTTGGTACCATATGTTAGGCTGCTTGGTGCCAGGTGCTTCAAACTGGTGTAACTGTCCTCTTAAATGATACCATCTAGGACTGAATTTGATATTCTTGCCACTATTTGGTTTCCACTTGCTCTTCTATCTCGTTCTTTATTCCTTGCCACCACCAG